AAAATAAAACAAAAACAAAATATGTAAACAATATAGAAAATTAATAGCAAATATAACAAATAAAGCAAAATAAACTAAAATAAAATAATATAAAGTAAAATTAAAAATAAAATAAAATAAAAAATAAAATAAAATAAAATAAAATAACGTAAAACAAAATAAAAAATTAAATAAAATGAAATAAAATAAAAAATAAAATAATATAAACAAAATAAAACAAGTAAAACAAAAAAATTAAAAGCAAATACAATAAAAAAAAATAAAAAACTTACAAAATAAAATAAAGTAAAACAAAAAAATAAAATAAAACAAAATAAAATAAAATAAAATAAAATAAAATAAAATAAAATAAAATAAAATAAAATAAAATTAAATAAAATAAAATAAAATAAAATAAAATAAAATAAAATAAAATAAAATAAAATAAAATAAAATAAAAGCAAACAAAATAAAATAACTGCAAAAAAAAAATAAAATAATAAAAAGTAAAGTAAAAAAATAAATTAAATTAAATAATAAAGTAAAATAATATAAAATTGAAAATTTAATATAATTTAATTAAAATAATTAAATTAAAATAAAATAAAATAAAATAAATTTTAAAAAGTAAATTAACATAAAATTAAATAAAATAAAATAAAAAAATAAAAATAAACAAAGTAAAAAAATGAAATAAAATAATATAAAGCAAAATAAATTAAAAATATTAAATAAAATAAATAAAACAAAGTAAAATTAAATAGAATAAAGTAATAAAATAATATTAAAAAAAATAAAAAAAACAAAAGAAAATAAAGTAACAAAAATAAAATAAATTAAAATTAAAGCAAATACAATAAAATAAAAAAAGCTGAAAAAATATAAATAGAGTTAGATTAGTTTAAATTTTTATGAAATTAATTAAATTAAACCAAAAAAAAAATATAATATAACAATATAATTTTAAGTAAAATAAAATAATATTGAAAAAAAACAATAAGTTAAATCAAAATAAAATAACATAAAAGAAATTAAATGAAACAAATAACAAAAAATGCAAAAAGAATAAAATTTTACAAAAAAAAATGTACTGAAATAAATAAAATAATATAACAAAAAATAAAATAAATCGGGACGCAGTAAACTTACATGATTTAAGTAACGTAAAACGAAAAAAATATAATTAAATTAAAATTTTCTAAATTTTTCTGATAGGCCCGCTTCTAACAAACTGAATGGTACCTCGCATTCATTGCGTTGCCTGACATTCAACGACAACAACTATAACGACAACGACGACAATGATGACTGTTGGGAAATTGTTTGTGTTGCAAGTATGGCAGCAAGGATCATAACCAATTTACACGCCCACAGCTTTATACAATACAGCAACTATGAATGCATTAATTGTATACTGACATTATTATAAATGTTCAGACAAGCATATACATATATATACACACATAAATACCAACAAATAGTTGACAACCTGCATATTTGCATTCATTCCTTTTTGGATTCAGTGTAACAGCATGGAAATGTTGCAAATGCTGTGGGAAATCGTTGTGATGTGAATATGTCTTTGGATGTAGACATTGGCAACAAATGTTAGAACAAAATCAATTAAATTGTATGACAAAACTATGAACAATACGAAAGAAAATTTATTGTTTCAAATATATTACATTCATTTCACAACAATAAATTGTATTGTGCTCATTTTTCAATATGAATTACTTTTACGGTTAGTTAATATATGACATTGGGAAATTTATGAATAGTCAATTTAATGAAAGGTTCCAGGAAGTCGCGCTAATATGTAAGATAGTATGTTGTTGGAAAGAGAAAAAATAAAAAAATAATATTAATCTTAGCAAGAAATACCCATATCCTCAAATTATTTTCTGTTAACTGTTTTGGTGTTCTGGGCTTAAATTCCTAAAAAAAAAAAGAAGAACAGATGAAGAGACCAGATTAAAGTCAACACCAAATCGTTGATTCAGAAGAGAAAAACTCACTAAGGGCGACTTGGTAAAATCAGAAAAGTCACGCAGAAATAAATACTTGAAAACACTAACAATAAACAACAATACTAACACCAAGTGAAGGCAGGTATTTCAAGAATTGATGAAAGTCTACACCTTCCTTTAGAACAACCAGCGGATAATGAACAAAAAATCTTGAAAAATCCAGATTTTTCGGATAACGTGACCTCCAAGACGTAATTGCTGGAATTCACTTAAACCGGGGGGCAGATAGCGCATGGTGTGTTCTAATACGGAATAAATAATATAAAAAATTCAATTCAGTCAAAATTAAATGTTTTATACGAAACCTGTAGACATTTAATTATAATTTTCATATCAAACTAAACTAAAAACCATATCCGCTTTCGACGTCTAATTTGACGAAACTTCAAGATTTCTCTGAAAATATGTAAGTGCAATATTATAAAAATATAGAATGATAAAAAAATGTAATGCGAGGGTTGCCATTTATATTTTGGGACTAGAGAACGAAAACAATTATAAATCATCGAATATAGCTTTATAGTTTTTCAAAGTATTCTCCATTAAAATTATACACTTTGCATGCGTTTGAACCCATTTTCGGTATCTGCAAAAATGGGTTCTGAATGTATCAAGCGCCTTTGCAGGTTTCGAAAAACGTTAAACTTCAAGTTCATTTTTCACGTAAGTAATAAAAAGAAGTTTTTCAGTTTCCAATCGCGACTTTTCCGTGAATGATTCATTAAACCGATGTTTTGAGCACCAAAAACTGCAGTTGTTCAAGGCGATTAATTTTTCCTGATTTCTTGAAAGACAACTGGCAAACAAAACGTTGTGTGCCCCTCAAAATTTACTGCTCAGCATTTTTCTCAAGGTATGTTTGCGATATGTTCCATTTTTCCGAAAAAACAAAAAAAAACAGGCAACCATTTGCCTGGAAATGCTTCGAGCGCGAACAACTTTTGTTTGATTGATTGAGTGATTTTTAATCATCCATACCGTCGACTGTTGTTTACTTTTGTGCTCATAAACATAAATCCACCAATCAACATCTGTACGCTATTATATATTTTTTTTAACATTTCTCTCTATCAATCATAGCGAATCTTTTTCTAAGCATTTGACAAATCGTGTGGAATCCAACATGAGCAAATTTTTTTACAGTCAAGTCTTCATGCAATATTATGTATGTTTGTCCCATTAATACCTATAGTTATCCCAATCTCACGAAATTCGTTTTGGACTGTTGTGCGACAAGCGTGATCTGCAGATAAAAAGGTTAACTTGAACGTCTAAAAATTTACCTGAACTTGTCACTTTTTATATATAAGGGCTCCCATAGTCTGCTTTAAAACCCCAAAAAAAAACGTTTTTCAGCAATTCTTATTTGAAAAGGAAGAAAATCTTTGCGATAAGCTTTAAAAAACAATATTTAGTATCAAAGAAATTCTGGATGAGTTTTATGAAGCGGCTGCATTATGAACTCGTGCCGGTGTTGGAGGCCGAGCAATACATCTGAGGCAATTGAACCAAATGAACTAAGAACTACCAAAGAAGTTGGAAAATTTCAATTTTAGTCGAAGTTTAAAAAAAAATTCACTTTTTTGAAAAAAATAATTATTTCAAGCTGCAAAAAAAATAATTTAAATTTTTATTTATTCGGCCAACTTTTTTAGTTCAGATAGAAGATTATTTAATACTGTAGCTATATCACATTGATTTGTTTCAATCGTACATACATATGTATATTCCAGTAAAACTAACCTTGCTTCTATTCTGGTATAGCTTCAGAACAGATTTATGAAAAATATGCATTTTGAAAGCCTCTAAAGCAGTCTTAGGTAGCCTTAACTGCCTAACTTCAACCTGATATTATAGAGAATTTTTTTGTAATAAATAATTGCGCTCACCCCTTGGCAGAGAAATTTGAATTTATACTACTTAGAACAAATTTATCTTGTTCCTCTATCAATGCTATTATTTTGCAAAATTTCTCTCGGTAATAATTTATATCAGAAGTCTAAGCCTCAATCAATAATAGTCTTAATATTATGGCACTAACCAGCAATGCTTTGTGCAAAGCTTTCCGAAAATTTATGCAGATACATTCAGGCTGAGTAGATATAAACAGCTGTACATTTCCTTAAGCATACAAATTTCCCTCTCTTTGTGAAACAATTTCGCATAAGCAACATAATTAATTTCATATGTAGATATGTATGTATGTATGTACCGATCCCTGTGCGAGCTGTGTGTACAATTGTTGCATTGCTGCATTTATGTTGTTCACACTCACTACACTATAACTGTATTTCCGCATTTGTCAAACACATGTAAACAAATGTTTTGCCCAGAGCAGGAACTAATCGTCAATTCATCACATAAACGCCATGTCGTTGACAGCTGCATGCTTTCTTGCCGGCACTCGAATGTCGGTGTACATATTTGTATATGTGTATGTGCGTTTCACTACAGCCGAATATCATTTACAAAATACACTTAATTTGCAATGACTGCCATTGTTGTTAATATAAATTGCTTGTATATAATTTTCTAATTTCTTGCTGTCGCGCGCCTGTGTGAGTGTGTGTGTGTGTGTTTGTGTGTTAATTTGGTATTATTTAAAAAATCAGCTTCGTATTAATATAATGGCACAGCGAGAAAAGAGAAGAGTGGTAATAATATGAGTGTGGGTTACTCATGATGCAGGCATTTTCGTTTCCTCTCTGATATATATATATGTATACATATGAGTACATATGTGGCTATAGAGTTATATATAGATATTTGTAAAAACTATAACAATACATTTGCTTCATTAAATACATTCCAAATAATATATTTACAAAAACTACTCTGTATCTGAGTTATGAATGTGAGCACTATGTCCTTGTAAACAATTACCCATACAAATATTCCTCTCCCCTAGTCATCATTTCCAACTTTCAAAAGACTAATACTATAAGCAAATTTAACTGTAAATCATATTTTCCATGTACTACTTATACACAGGCTATCGATGAGGGCTTCATTGAAGACATTAATGGCATACTTAACACCGGCGATTTGCCCAATCTATATCAATTGGAGGATAAGGCAGCAATTATGGAGAATATGACGAGCGTGGCAAAACAGCTGGTGAGTAGCGCCAAGTGATGAACAACAGTGAATCTTATTTAATTAGATATATAAACTAGGATAGTAGAGTTAATATCAAAAAATCCTTCAAGAGATATATTAAATATACATATAAAGTAAGCAAAATAAATTGCAGTAGAATAGAAAACAACTAAATATAATTTTAAATAAGAAATTAATTAAAAGACAATTTAAACAATAATAAAAATTAAATAAGGATATAAAATACGATAAAATAAAATAAAATTAAATTAAAATGAAATAAAATGAAATGAAGCAAAACTAAATAACATTAAGCTAAATAAACTAATTAATAAACATTATTATTGGTGTTAATGCTGGCTCCTACATAGACGAAATTATCTACGACTTCAGAGTTATGACTGTCAACAGTCACGTGGGAGCCAAATCGAGATGACTGTTTGTTTGGTGACAGGAGATATTTCGTCTTGGCCTCGTTCACTACCAGATCTATATCCTTCGCTTCGTTATCGAGTCTGGAGAAAGCTGTACCAACGGCGTGGTTGTTGTGGCCGATAATGTCCATATCATCGGCGCATGCCAATAGTTGTCCACTCTTATAAAAGGTTGTATATTCTCTATTCACTTCTGCAGCTTTTATTAATCTCTCCATCTTCAAATTGAAGAAGTAGCACTATAAGGAATCAGCATGTCTGTCACCCTGTCTGTCGTTTGTTATCGAACTGCTCGGAGAAGTCCTTCCCGATCCTGACGAAGCTTTTAGTATTGCTTAACATCAGTTTACACAGCCGTATAAATTTTGCATAGCGGCGTAAAGACCGTTCCTTTTCGTGCTGTCGAAGGCGGCTTAAAATTAATGAAGAGGTGGTGGGCGCACGGTGAAAATCTGGTCAATGGATGACGTATCAGGACTAAAGTCACACTGATAAAGTTGACGGCGGACTTCAGTCTCTCACATAATACGCTCGACAGAACCTTATAGGCGCTATAAAGGAGGCTTATCCCACGGTAATTGGCTCGCACTGTGGATTCGGCAGAGCAGACTTAAATTTCAATCGTCAGGCACGCTTTCGTCCTACCATATTCTGCAAAGTAACTAATGCATGCAAATAAAATAAAATTTAATTAATTAAAATCAAATAAATGAAATATTTTGTACTTAAATAAAATAAAATTAACGAGCGTAAGTTAAAAAATTAAATAATAATGAACAATTAAAATAATAAAAAAGTATAAAAAATTATATTAAATTAGTTTATATAAAACAAAACAATATTTTACAAAATAATATAAAGTAAAATAAAATACAAATAAAATTAAAATAAATTTAAATTCAATAGAATAAAATAAATAAATGAAATCAAACAAAAAAATAAATAATACAACATAAATATTTTTCTGCGGGTGTAGCATATACAAATGCCTTCCGCATCATCATTGTGTCGTCACAGCAATAGTATGCAACACTTACGGATCGGGACTGTACTCTCCCCTAAGGAGTCCTCGTGCACCCTGGAAACGCTTTCACATTACTTCAGGTTGGCTTTCCATTCAGGAATCGATTTTTCGATCTTCGTACTTTTTTGCGAACTATAGTTAAATAAATAAAATAACACAAAAGTATACAAAATAAAATTAAAAATAAATGACAGGAAAGTACAGTTTATTCTAAGCTGCCTCCGAACCGTAACTAGATTTTGATGAGAAGTTTCGTTTCATGTCAGAAATACACTCGGAGGGCTTTACATTGAGCGGCGACCACAATTAGAAAAATTAAATATCTATAATATTGGAAGTTGGTCGAACCAGGTCTCAAATGCTTTACTTTCAAATGACGGCACTCGGTTGTTGCGGCCAAATTAGACCAGTTTAAAAGCTAAGAAAAATAAACTATTTCTAAGAAAAACTCTGTACCGAAAAGTTATTCCGTAGAATTGATTAGTGCATTGAGATTAGGAAAACGTTCTCAAGATGATGCATTGCAATAGTACGTATATGATACCGCTGTGAGGATCCTGACTTCACCTTCCTAAATGTTCGAACTATTTCGTGTGTCCTATAAAAGCAACGAGATAGCCAATTTTCGCTGAAGCTGTCTCAGTGAGAGAAAAGTTTACCGTACCGTAAAATTGATGTTACGCAGATATCAAGAGGAGTGGAGTATTTACTAGACTCTTCCGATTCCAGTTGCGACAAAAAACTTACAAAGCAAAGCTTTTACAAAAAATTGATACTAAGCTTTTTACTAGCATTATTTTATAGTATAAAAGCTGATATGTAAAATGTACAAAATGATGGATATTAATGATTTATTTATTTACTAGAAAACTATTATAATCTCAAATTTTCATTCAAAAAACGTTGCCTACAATTGCGCGCTATATTAGGGTAACAAATCACAAGCGTTAGAAATAGGATGAACTGATATCAATAACAAAGTGGTGAACAATCAACACAAGCGATTTCAATTATCCTTGTGCTTGGCACTATTTTGCTTCCAATAGTGCGATTGTTGTTTTAGTTAACCCTCAAGTGGCTCATTATTTTAGCAATATTCCCGTAATAAGCAATAAAAGGTTGTTCAGTGAGAGTTAAGTATAAAAGCAACAGCTTCACTAGAACAAAATACCAAAGAAATGGTAACGAGAACAACAACGAACAACAATAATGCTTGATGAAAACTATAGCAAAATAACTTATACATAAATACTATATACCTAACTGCACATATAATAACTGTACTTGTTATTCGATGCACTTATATTTGCTTTATTTCCGGTAACACATTCATTTCCGTCTTCCTGCCACTCCGGTGACTGCCACTCCCATGTCGGCCGGCCGTTTGCGGACCATCGAATAACAAATATTGGTTTGCCTGTTTGCCTGCTTGCTTGGCCGATTCGATTTTACTTCCTTTAACCTGCTTGCATAATTCTTCATTGGTTGCCATCGTTGCTGAATTTCTGTCTTTGCAAAATTATCATGAAAACGACGTCAAACACCACCAACTGCTGCTACTTACACTTCATGCTGCCACTGCTGCTGCTGCCGCTGCTGCTGCTGCTGCCTGTGCTACTGTTACTGCCACTTCACACCACACTGGGAATTTCATTTGCACTTCTTCCGTCCTGACTGCATTTCACATGACCCGCCTGCCTACCGTCCGGCTACATCTGGAATGCTGCCTCACTCTTCTACGTCCTGCTGCTCCTCGTCGTTGGACTCACAATCAATTCATATTTTAACTGCATTATTGAATGATGCATCTTCCTACTTATGTACTCGGTGCACTGCCACTGCCACTGCCATTACCACTGCAACGACACATGCAACTCTAACTGACTGACTGACTGACTGGCTGACTGACTGAGTGCCACTGTTGTCGATGTTGATGATAATTTCCTGCAAATAAAATACAACCAATGACACACAACGGAACCACCAACCGCACACTGGCATGCATACTTACACACATTTTATACAACAACTACAACAACAACAATGTTAACAATTGATCCGCTTTGTACGCTTTGGGCAAAATTCGTCGTCTCAAATGCGGGCTGCCCGACTGCTTGACTGCCTGACTGTCTAACTGATTGACTGACTGACTGACGCACAGGCGAGACAAATTGAAAATTCCCCATCGGAGATGTATGCATACTTTATCGAAAGGATACGTGAGCAATTGCATATAGCATTGGCATTTTCACCGATTGGTGATTCCTTCAAGGAGCGTTTAAGAATGTATCCATCATTGATAAACTGTTGCACGATTGATTGGTAAGTGTGAACAATTACAACTATAATAACAACAACAACAATTGTCTAGAGAAATGCACTTGCAAGTGCATGCATCGTTACAAACATACATATGCATGTACATTGGTGAAAAATTTTTTGTTTTTTTTTTATTGTTTTATTCGATTTAACAGCAATATGCACACGAAATATATATACATATACACAATGACCAGCATTTTTGTAATTAGGGTTATCCGAAGAAAATGCGAACGGAGGATACAACAGCCTTTCTTAAATCTATGAGCCTAACAATGGTAAATATTTATAAAGACTGAAGATTTTAAATTTTTTTTTTTTTTTTTATTTTTACCAACCATGTAAGAGAGAAATTTGTCATAGCCTATTTAGCATGTTTTGGACCGAAAAATTTTTTTTGTGATTTTTTTTCCGTCCTTGGTTTATGCATCCGAATTAATATATAATATTATTATTCCGTAATCAAGACCGACCGACTTGGCTTTTTTTTATATCTATTAAGAAGAAAACAAATATTAATAATATTTATTAATATAGAAAACCCATTTGAATAAGGAAATGTGACCAAGTCTCGAGTTTTAAGAGGATATTATGATGCACATAATCGTCCAACCACACAAACAATAGGTAAAAATAAAAAAAAATTTAAGAGACTGAATCGGTTGCAAATATTGTAAGGCCTGTGCATAATCGTTTTGCTCGTTCCACCTCAAGTATCGCTACTGTAAATGAAAATGTAACCGAAGACCCAAATGTGTCTATTACTCGACGTTCTCAAGAGCTGAGACTTTCTTACGGCTTATCATGGCCAAAATTGCACTTGGACTTGCACCTGTATACATACAAAGGCCAACTAACTCAACAGCCAAAGCCAACTGACCAACAATACAGTACGTACGTAGCTTCTACGAACAAAATATTTTTCAACGACGAAACATATTTATCGCTCGGGGATGCATAAAAAAGCAAATGTGTGGCATTTGGGGCTCCGAAAATTCTCAAATAATTCAAAAGTGATCAATATGCCCAAAAACAAAAAAAAAACTACTGTCTGATGCGATATTTGATCCATAGGTGTGATGTGGAGCTTATTACTTTGGAAACGGTAACGGCGAGGCTGACACTGTCAATTCGGAGCGTTATGATAACCGATTGTTTTTACCTTTCATTGAAAAACCCGACTTAGATAATACTTGGTTTCCACAAGATACTGCCACATGCCATACAACATTAGCAAATATGACTTTATTGTGAGAGAAATTTCCACTGAGATCATGCGATTTGACACCGTTGAACTCCTTATTGTGGGGTTACGCGAAAGAACGTGTTTATGTGGTTAAACCTTAACTCTTAAGCACTTGAAAACGAACATTCACCAAGTTATGACTGAGATACCGCCCAATATGTGTCAAGAGGTGATTGAAAACTACCTCAAAGGGAGCGAGGGAAATGGAATTTTATTAATAAAATTAGTTTAAATGTTTATTTTTGAAACTGCAAAGTGAATAACCCCTTAGTTTTCCCAATTCCCACAATGTATCCTTTCTTATATCTTCAATTGTCGCTAAAAGACATCTTTTCATGAGACAAAACATTTACTGAGGCTGTAACGCATTATTATCGTTATACAAATGCTATGAATCGTTTTTCCTAAAATATCCGGCCAATCTTTTATACTACTATACACAATTTATGCCCCGCCTAGCCCTTATATTTCTTATGTACGGCATTGTGGCTAGAAATCCTGAAGCCCTACGCCAATACAACATGTATATCTTTATAATCTCAGTGAACGAAACTTGAACGTTTGAAAGAAAGTAAAATGTGTTTTACGGTCTAAGCTCTCCCGGTTTTTTAAAATGCTACGATTCGGCTTTCGTTTATATATTATATATTAACCATAAAAAAACGATTCATTCCCATATATGACTTTATTTTGCAAGTTTATTTCATTATTAGCTTCATTCAATCTCAGTTTTTGAAGCGCTTAGCGTCCGCATTTTACTTCAAAATTACATGACAGAATCCAACATCCAATAAACCGATATTCTAAGCAACATCTCTCATATTGATTCGATGATTCGTCATAATAATTTCACTCACTTACTCAACATTTCCATGGTTTTCTGATGTTATGTGGCGTTTAAGGCGAGCGCGTTATCACTTACATCTCCTCGAACTCACAGCAATTTTAGTGTTCTTGAGAACATAATGCTGTTATTTACACAAGATTTAATGTTAATAAAAATTCACATTATTTTGAATAGAACTTGACTACTCTTTTCTATGTTTCTAAAATATTCAAAATCTAAAATTAATTAAAATATTATGTATAAACATATATATGTATATACTTGTATATACATATTTGGCACTTTGTAACCGCTGAATAGATTTTCGGCCAAGAGACCGAGGGATGTCTAAAATACACTCTGAGGCGTTGACACTCCCTGCCGAGGGAGAAAATTTAACTTAATTTTTTATTTAAATTAATTTCCTATAATTCTTAGTTATTGGTCATACCGGAATTGGAACTCTTGTCTTACGAATCGCAGCAATGCTAACGCGGTCATCATATAAAATTTGTTATTTGTGTGTCACCCTAATGCATAATATGCACTCTTACGTAAGGAAACCAAAAAAATTCTCAATAAAATGGAATGCAACTTTTGCGGTTCATAGAAAGGAAGTGTCTTATTTCTGTATGTTGAACTTGTCAAGGCGGAATAAATGCTGTATCCTGTGCATCCTGTAGCATAAGAAAATACCTATGATGTATCTAAAACATATTTATGCAGTTATGCTGGTATGCATTAACCCAAGTGACTACGTGTATTTATATATGAAAAGGATAGAGAGTTGTAGCAAATATATTCAATTTAATGTATAATAAATATTATTTAGGTACACAATAGCACTATCAGCTGTGAATATATAATATATGAACGGAACGGAACGGAACGAAAAAGGCGACTTCAATTAAAATTTGGCAAATAACGCGAAAGCAATTATAAGATCAATGCTGACGCTCGGCTGTGCTTACTAATTTTTCTTCTGAAAACATTTATTTTAATATTTTTTGCTTGAAAATTTTTAAGATGGCATTTTTATCACGTTTTCCTTCACTATTTCGCTCAGGAAGAAAGGTTTGAAAAATAAAATAAAAAAATGCTTGCATTGAAAAATTTATTACTTTCGCTCCAAAATCTCTGCAGCGGTTATAAGGCGCATATTATATTACTTTTCACTCCGTCTTATCATTATAATAATATAATTTTTCTATTAATGATAACGATTTTTCTTTTATTTTAAATTGAAATTGAAGTCTGAACAACTAAAATTATTTAAAATATTATTTTTCATTAGTTTTCAAAGATAAAGGAAAATTTACGTTGTACTATTTCCATGGGTTATATATGAATATACTATTTAATTTGAATTAATACTAAATATTGATTTCCCATTTCACTCGCTGTGTTGTTATGAAAACGTGAAAAGTTTATGGGAAAATTTCCTTGAATCTCAATGGGAATCGATAGACAGATGAGAAAAAAAACAAGCAGTAAAAATGCATTTTTAAGTTCATATTCTTTACGCCAACTACTTTTCACTTTATCATTTCACTAATGCATATATTTACATTCTCTTTCTCTTAAAGTAAAGCGGCATATACTAGACTTCTTTGGAAAATTATTATTGCAAGTGAGACCAAATAATGAATAACAGTGAATAAAGTGGAAATTCAGCTTTATTCACTGTGAAAAAAGTATCCTTTATCATGTGAGCAAAAATACTTGTTGCTTTTAACTTTTTTCGACACAAAATATGGAGAATAATATGTAGGTGAAAAATACTTTTCACCTCATATTTGTTATGAAAACCATTTTTACTTTTTAATTCATTAATAAGAAACTGTGTTCCAATAAATTTTTGAAAACTATAAGAATAAATTGTTTGGGATTAAGAAAAAACTTTAATTTAACTACACTTCGTTTCGGTGTGATAAAGTGAAAAGTTTTTTTCATGTGAAAAATTTTGAGATAAATTTTCATTTTCTTTCAACTCTTCATTGAAAACGATTCTATATTCAATAAATTGTTAAACGTACCATTTTTCACGTGAAAAAATTTTGATGTTGACTTTGACAAAATGAAAAAATAAAATATGGGGAAAAAACATTTCATCTCATTTGTTATGAAAACTCTTTATCATTATTAGAAAAATATAAGAATAGATTGCTTGGTCTCAAAAGAAATAATTAATTGAGTTTCACTCGTTATCCATGTGAAAAAGTGAAAAGTTTTTCTCATGTGAAACATTTTGGATTTTCGCGCATTTTCATTCTTGAAAACAAACAGAAAACTAAAAATTTGGAAAAAATTTTATATTTCACCGCTTCAAAAAATATCAATTGATCGCCTGATTACTTTTTTGACTTTTTTTCACAAATTAGCCTCGCGGTAGAATGTGCCCTGATCAATATAAAATCTAATTTTGCTGTGAATTACTATATAATAGATCTAGATCTACAAGAGTTATATGGTGGAAAAGTTTAACCATTCAAATTTTGTAGACAGAAAATACCAAAATGGAATTTCAAGAACATTAGTATATATGTATGAATATACAACTGATGGATCACAGGGTATTCTTCCACCAATCGCAATGCGAATGGTATACCGATGTGAACGATAGCCGATGAATTGAGCGAAAATATTTTAAAATTACGCTACAGTAAACACAACAACAACAGAGTTAACTGAATTTAACTACAACTACAAACTGTGAACAGAATTATTTTAAATCTACCGTTATACAAAACATATGCACACAAGTCCTCGTATGTAACTACAAATCCTTAAACATCCATATAAGCTTGCAAGTCTCCCAAAAATATACATACACATACATATGCGTATATGTACATGCATATGTATTTACACACATCTGTACGTCTTACTCTCATGTAGGTTCATGCCCTGGCCCGTTGACGCCTTGGAGCGTGTTGCTGAATATTTTATCAGTTCAATGAAATTGGGTCAGGCGCAGGAGCAGGCTGAGTCCGGTGCCGCGGAGCAAGCGTCAGTCGATACCGCAGAATCGGATGACAAGAAGAGCGACAATGTTGAGGAAATTGTGCTCAGTGAATTGGAATTGGAGCTGGTACAAATTGTCATGTATTTCAATAATTCCGTCTTCGAGGCGAGCGAACGGTAAGTGCATGTTTATCGAAAGTTGTCAAACGGAATGAAGTGATAAGTACATAAATACGATAAACAAACAGACATAGCAAACACATTATATACAAGTACGCATGTTCTTATGGTTACATATACATATGTACATACGTACATACACATCTACAATATGTACCTTAACTCGGCTTTTCACTCTGCAGCTGCTATTTGGAATTGGGGCGCCGCAATTATGTGACACCGTCGTCATACTTGGAGATGCTTAAGTCCTTTAAAAGTTTCTATGTAAGGAAATTGGAGGAAATTACGAAATTGCGTGATCGGTGAGTATGCATGTGTGTGTGCGTGTGTGTGTTTTAAAAATGACACCATCATTTCACTCAACCTCGCAGCTACACCACCGGTTTGGAGAAACTGGATTTTGCTGCTGGGCAGGTGGGTGAAATGCAGGCGAATCTTTATGATCTGCAACCCAAACTGAAAATACTTTCCGAGGAGACAGAACGCATTATGGTAAATATTGAACGCGAAACAGCGGAGGCGGAGAAAAAGAAGGAAGTAGTGGGTGCTGATGAAGCGGCTGCCAATGAAGCTGCCGCAGCCGCACAAGCGATTAAAGATGATTGCGAAAGTGATCTGGCCGAAGCAATACCGGCACTGGAAGCGGCACTGGAGGCATTAAATACACTTAAGCCGGCTGATATATTCATTGTGAAGTCAATGAAAAATCCGCCATACGCGGTTAAGTTGACACTGGAGGCTGTGTGCGTGCTGCGTGGCTTTAAGCCAGATCGTAAGCCAGATCCAAGTGGACGCATGGTTGAAGACTTTTGGGGGCCCTCCATGCGCATGATAGGTGATATGAAATTTCTAGAGTCGCTAAAATCTTTTGATAAGGATAATATACCGCCGGCGAATATCAAGAAGATAAGGGAGAAGTATGCGCTAAATGAATACTATAAATTAATTGTTATTGTTGCTATTTCTTATGCTCCGCAGATACATACCCGATCGTGATTTTGTGCCTGAGAAAATCAAAAGTGCCTCCACAGCCTGTGAGGGTCTCTGCAAGTGGGTGCGTGCCATGGATGTTTACGATCGCGTCGCTAAGATTGTGCAGCCCAAGCAGCAAGCTCTAGCCGAAGCTGAAGCCGATTTGGCCTCACAAATGGAAAAACTGAATGCGAAGCGTGCCGAATTGCAAGTGATTTTGGATAAATTGCAGAAGCTGAATGACTTCTTCGCAGAAAAGTCGCGTGAAAAGAAGCGGTTAGAGGATGAAATTGATAATTGTGAAAAGAAATTGAATCGGTAAGTTGCATCCATATGACATCTGTTAATTCCTAAAAAACTGTTTCCCTTTTTCTTTTCGTTAGCGCTGAGAAGCTTTTGGGTGGCTTGGGCGGCGAGAAGACACGTTGGTCGGAGGCAGCGCAGAACTTACACAAGTCCATTAGTAACATTGTTGGGGATGTTTTGTTAGCTGGCGGTGCGGTGGCCTATTTGGGATTCTTCCCAACGGAGGTAAGTTGTATTAGTTCTTGAAGCTATTTCGAGGTTTCCAACTTTTTTAAAGAAAAAATTTAAGGAGGAATGTTTATTATCATTCGAAAGACGATTTTTGGCATTTCTTTTTGTAGAGTTTTCTATTTCCAATGTTGGCCGCGGCCACGTCTCAAATGGTCAATCCGTTGAGTCCAATTACCGATGACTCGTTCGAGCATTTCGATTGGTAACTGGCGAATGACACTTGTGATGTTTTGTGCAAAAGCATGAATCGAAATATGATTGTCCACATAGACTTTAAACTTTATATATCTTTACATGAAAAAGTCTGACGGTATGATATCACACGATCTTGGTGGCCAATCGACCGGCCCAAAACGTGAAATTATCTGCTTACCGAAGTGTTTTCTCATAAATCCATTGATTGATGCAATGTGTAAGAAATGACATACCCATTGAGCTAGAAACGAGCTGAACAAAATTTAGATCGAAACCGTTCGGATCTCCTTGAATCTGTTCAAGAACCCATAGAGCGAAGCAAAAGTCGAGCAGCTTCAGTTCTTATACAAACTCTACTTTGTAAGCTTTTAATTCGAGATCTCGACGTAAAATGCGCCAAGCCAAGTGTAGTTCGCTCAGACACTTACCAAAGAATTTCCCACGCTATGAGTGCTCTCACAGAGCAGATGCACAAATCGGGTAGAAACCCGTTCGGCTGTCCGTTAAGATTGCAACTTATCGACGACGAACTTTCGTTGAGTTTGTTAATGACCGTTCGTTGATATATTGTACAAAGGTGGGTGCGTATCTTCGCTGCGACAAGAAAGTAGTCTCAGTCGATGTTAGGACCTCGGCATGTACGCACATTTAGAACACATGATACATATCGCCTTTATCAACGCATGATCGATATGGCTGTGAGTTTTTCCAACTGGAGACAGTTAGGTAGCTTGTGAATTTTCTCGGGCTCCGCCGAAATCGATCGACCTGAACCCGTTTGGAGATGTATGGTTGTATGGGTTGAATTTTCAGAATTTTTGCTGAAGGTATAACACTTTTTGCTCACTCTGTCTTTAAGGACACTAAGCATAATTTTTTCATCATGGCAGGAGTAGCTCTCATATATATGCTACAAGCGCCCATAAAAGGCATCATTGGTTTTCCGTCGAGGCTTGCGGCACAGTCTCGCTCTCACCAGAAATCCAGCACCAAATTAGCATTTCTTTTGATAGCCGCTATTGAGAATTTCATAAGCACGCACCTTCTTCCTTACTTTTCTCGTCCATCCACTTCTTGGACGGCGGTGATGCCAGCCTTTAATTCAACTAGGGCCAGACGTTTCTGTTATATGCCCTCAAATCGTGATTCTTATAGCATTTACGAAGGGGGTAGTTATCTAAAGTAAGGTCTCTCATCCTACACCTACTACTGCTACTACCAAATGAACTCTACGTCCGGACCAACAAACCAACCAACAAAAAAGGAACATCTTCCGATAGGAATATCGCTGTGGTTAACTTACAAATATAAATAATTACCAAAAAATAAGTTATTATTCACGTTTACAAAAAAGCCCCTACGATCATTATAAAATATTTTTACCGTTGCACTTGCTGAACCATTAAAAATATCAAATAATCTGCAGATATCTTGTTGCTCACAACCTGCCGGCGGTCAATTAATGCGCTTCGTTTGCGCTTCACATTTAACGTATGTGTGATAGATATTTTGTTTGCTTTTTTTAACATAAATAATAGTAAAAACAGCAACAACTTTTTTTTTTAAAAAATGGATAAACTACATACTCTAACTGTCAACGAAATTAATCACTGCCGACGCGGATTTTGCATGCACCAAAAACTTGTATTAATTTTTTGTCAACCATCAAAAAACGCTTGCAGTGTGTTATATATGTAGTCGTACATACATATAAAAAATTACGTTAGAAAATATTTATTTTTAGATTGCGCCAAATTTTTTCTACTACTATCATTCTACTACTATTTTTAAAATTTTTTCTTTAACACGATTAAAGTAGCTGAAGCGGATAAAATAGTTGTTTATGTGCAAGAGCACGTAAAACATTTATATGCCGTTATGTTTGTAGATATGTATGGGCGAGCCGCTTTGCGCAGGAAAATTTTACTGAATGAATATATATGTACGAGGCGAGTAACAAAAGTTCGGTGAGTTGACCAAAAAAAAAACAAAAACTAGTCCTTTTTGTATTTATTCGTAATCTTAGTTGTCCCCTTTTTTATCTTCTCTACATAATCGCCATTGATTTCAATGTATTCTTTAAGCCTAAAGATCCACTTCTGGAAACAGTCTTCAAAATCTTGCTTTTTAAGCTTATCAGGTTCAGCATTAACCGCATTAATTATCTTCCTTGAACTTCTTCTTCTTCCTGTTTTCCGATGAATTTTGAAAGGCTTTGATAAACACTCTTCGGTGTAATATTTTACAATCAACGTCTGATCCTTTTTCAGTGGAACAGCGGCTATGATTTTATATCGGGTGAGGTAAACTGACATCTTTACTTTTTCTGCTGATTTTTTTTGTTTCGATTTTACGCATGGGTTCGCTCCTGTTGGGTTGCATACCATAGACTACTGCTCGCTTTCTGGATTTTACTAATTGAACCTAGATTCGTCACCAGTAACGACTTTATTTGAGTCGCCAGATTGACGATATTTCAATTTGTTTGGGAAAAATTGAGCAAAATGCACTCGAGCCTCTTTTTGAGCCTCATTCAAAATACATACGGGGTATCCATCGAACAGATTCATTATTAATCATTTCTGGTGTCAATCGTGGGTCTTCGTAAATTTTACTTCACCAGACGTCGGCAGTGTAAGATTTTGGTGTACCAACTCGGGACTTGTCCTCTACGGAAAAATTTGCGGACCGGAATCTTCGTTAACACTTAGAAACAGTCTTTAAAAATGGTGAAATCTTTCCATTTGCAATTTGCCATTCACTGAATATTTGTATTGGCTGTAAATTACGCCGAAGTCCGAAGACAGTCACATGGCGAATTTCTGTTTGCGTTGGTGGTGGAATTTCGTATGACCTGTCCTCAGCTATCTTGCGATTTCTCGTATCCACTGTAGCCGATAATTCCTTAATTTGTAAAAAAATCTAAGAGAGTAATCGCAGCAGGAACCCAATCCTTTTGAACGTTACCAACTGAGGTAACGTTTGTTAGTTCCCTTTTATATACTTACATATGTCTATACGTATAAACGAATATGTATTCAGCTGCATCATTTGAGTTTGAAAAAATATGAAACATCTACAAAAAATCCTTCTTTTTTGTTGTATTGACCAAATGCATCAACTGTAAATGGATGTCCCTTGCTCTGCCATATGTATGTGTTCGTATGTGTTTATGAAAAAATTTACATAAAAGCGCAGGTGTAGCTATTATATGCATACATATGCATGCATATATTTACATACGATATATATAAGTGTTTCTAAAGCAAAATTTCCAAAATTTTTTCAAAATGCCAGTCATTTTATTCAAGCGTTCATAAATAAGTGCACACATACATATGCCCGTGCGATAGACCATAAATACTGGTTTTTTCCACCTTCCACTTTTCACCTTCCTTCATTACATGAAATGTGATCTAATATCTGACAACCACACGAAAAGGCTTTGTAATAACTCAATTCACGTAATAATTACAGCCCAAAACAGCGATAACAATCGTATCAATAATATTAATAGTAATATGTACGCACTCAAATTAATTATAATCAAAATCACTTCAAACATTTAACAATAATATATTTTTATGTATGTGCATATTAATCAGCCGGGAAATGCATTAGTAATTAATGTAAAATTTTTGCATTGTCTGTGCTGTAATTAGGAAAAATATTCAAAAATTATTGGTTAACCGTGATATGGCAGTGAAAATTGAAAAGGTACTCAGATGTCATTATTTTACCCCAAATTAAAATAAATAAGTGCATACCTTTAAAAAATTTATGACTAAAATATTTATTTTTATTTATTAATTTAATGTGATTTTAATTTAAGTCGCCGAATGTGACGACGCATATCCTGGAAATTAGTCTCTCTTATCTCTTTAATTGCAAGTTTTTTCAAAATAACATTTTTTAAGAATTTACGAATGATCAATTTGAAAGAGTGGTAATTATCAGGAATTTCGGGATTTTTAATTGTTAAGTCTTCGCCAAATTTATTTTTCCAAATTATTTCATATAAATTACACAAAGGTCCATCTAATGGTTTTCTTAAAAAAATCTAAAAATAAAAATCCTTCACGACTTGATGTTATAAGATTCGTGCACCTTAGACAAGGACACACCAAAGAAAAGTAAAGTTCTCTGTAAACGAACATAAACCAAACTCTACAAGCCGCTCTTCATACGCGTTCTACTATATGGTGCAGAGGCGTTAACGATGTCAACAGCTGAAGTGTCGGCTGCTGTAGTCACCGAGTTTATGGTCCATTGCGCATTAGCAAGGGCGAATACCGCAGACTATGGAACGATTAGCTGTACGAGTTATGCGGTGATATTGACATATTTCAGCGAATGAAGAGACAGCGGCTACACTGGCTAGGTCACGTCGTCCTAATGGATGAATATACTCCAGCTTTGAGAGTATTCTATGCAGTACCCGCTGTTGGAAGCAGAGGAAGCGGAAGACCTACACACCATTGGAAGGATCAACTCGCGCCAAACAGCGAAAAGAAAGGAGGACTTGAGTGATATTGTTGATTCGCAAAAGCGATGCCAACGCCAATATAAAAACAAATAGAAAATAATGAAAATTATTTAGTATTAAGTTGTTAAAGACATATAAATTGTACATTAGGGTGACTGTTATTTAACAAGTAGATTTTTTTTTGTAGAGCACCCTTCTATTTTAGGTTATAATCTAAAAGAAAATTTCAAACCAAAATCAAATTACCAAGAGATTCTATCATTCTTTACTTTTATTTATTCTTCTTGAAATGGTATATATTCGTAGAAAAAAATGAACACTTCACAAATGGAGTGCAATAGATTTTTTGATAAGTCCGCTCCTGCAAAAGTTATTATTCATGGTTGGAATACGCATGCGAGTCTTTATATATTCTGAATTTTGAAAGAAATAATTGATCGAAAAATCGAACATCCTAATGTACTTACACAAAAATTCTAAAACACCTTTAGCTCAAAAACAAAAAAAAAAAAAAAACACCCAATATATGTGCTGATTAGGTTTGAAAGCGCATATAAACGATTACCAAAGCAATAATTTTCCAGCAAATGCAAATAACAAACAATTGTTGTCTGAATTAAGAATTCATTTGCTATTGATGAGTATACCGTAATTAGTGCCCGAAACAAAACAACTCCCGGGCAGCAGCAGCCAGCAGTGTTGCCGTGGCAAATCAACGCTCGCTACTCTTTGAAGGCATAAATTACTGTCTAATTGAAACTCTGTATTTTGAACTGATCGATTGCATACCTGTATTGTTTACCAATTTAAATATTCACACATCATATGATATACTCTACACACGTACATACATACAAACGGATGTTTAGTTAGGTATAAACTGCATATGATTTTGTAGTTATTATTACTGTTACTATTTTTTCACTCCTCACCTTACAGTATCGCGCACGAATTTTGGAGGATTGGAATGAGCTGTGTGTACGTAAAAAAATTCCCTGTTCGGAGAGATTCTCATTGGCCACCACATTGGGGAATCCAATGCAGATACGCGCCTGGTCATTAGCCGGTCTGCCGGCTGATAACTTTTCCGTAGAGAATGGCATTATTGTGGCTAACTCGAATCGGTATCCGCTAATGATAGATCCACAAGGTGATTTTAAATATTTCCAATATATGTATGTATGTGTATATATGTGTAGTTTGTTAATTGCAGCTTTTTCTATTGTATTTTTAGTTTCACAAAATTTTATATTAATGCGCGAGAGTTTTTGAGGCAGTGCAGAGTTTGTTAAATGCGCTGGCATTTAATTTCATTTTGTTTGTTTTTTGTTTTACTCATTTTATTTCCATTTTAGTTTTCAGTTAATACCAGATTTTTTTTCTTTTTTTTTTTTTTTGTCAAAAATAAACGAAAAATGTAAGCTTTTGTAGAGGCAGCGATGTTAAAAATCGCTTTAAAATTATTTCTAAAAATACGAATAGATAATTTATTATAAGTGGAAATGTTATTTATAATGTCTAATTTCAGTTTACATAAAGCCCCGAAGTAGATTTGTCATTTTCATTTACTGCTTCCACAAGTCTCGGGCTGAGCATAAGTAGATTAATTAATAACGATTTGGAATTTTATAGCATATGCAAGCAATATTAAATATATTTAACTTAAACTATATTGCAAACGACCTCGATTGAAATTTGTAATTTAACGCTCTGAAGCTCTATTAAGCCATTACAAATTGTATAAATCAATACAAATGGTCTTTAGCGTAGGAAAATATTATTTTTATCTCTAGAATTCATACTAAAATAACCAAATAAATCATACTTAAAGTGCCATAGCGATTTTCAAGCGATTTTGCCGTTAAACATTTTCAATTTCGACCTTCAAACTTCAAGAACAATTCGTCGTGAAAGCTGATAGTATGTTAAAGACTACTTTTGTCTTCAAACTATCCTCCTACTGCCGGCGACTGACACATTCTGTGCACAGCAGAGGCTGCCGCAGTAAATAGTTGTGCTGGTCGGTATACTTTTATTTTTATTTTACAAGATTTGTCGCATAATACTATTGCAATAAAATGAGAAAAAAATTAAATCTAATTCTGTTTCTTCCATAAAGAATTATACCCACTTGAAACACATTTGTTTTTAGACAAAAGAGCCTATGAAAATAGTTTGAAAATTTCAAGTCATTTGAACCCGATTTTTCGCATACTTTTTCCTTACTGACCGAAAACTTCGTTTTGAAAAAAACGCATTTAAAGTTTCCAGTGTAGGCTACGTCAACACTCAAATGCGATGTCATGGTTTTATATATGTGCCAATTTTTCCGAAACTATTTGTCGAATCGATGTGAAATTTTCGGACAATATTCTCAAATATATATACATACATTCAAAATCTGCTGAAAAAAAATCGATGTGTTTTACAAGTAGATATAACTCCAAATAATTTTAAGTTATCTTCGACCGCATCCGAATGTTGTTTATGGCAAGAAAGTGTCAATACTTCCAAGCATACATTAAGACCAGAAAGTTTGGTTCGCGGTTTGGTTCATCGTGAATTTATTCCAGCGGGACAGTCGTTCAATAAAAAGTCTTAATTTTGTGAGATGTTAACACGAAAACATCCGTCATAAACAGTCGGAATTGTGGGCCAAGAATGTCTGGAAACTTTCATGACGATAATGCGCCAATGCACCGAGCTGTAGTTATGAACTGTTTTAAGACCAAAAACTCGTTCAGTACCATCGATCAACCACCGTAATCACCGGATTTGGCCTCATGCGGTTTTTTTTCTTTTTGCTTCCAAAACTCAAGTTACCACTCCGTGGAACCTGTTTCGATCCAAATGAAGACGTAAAAGAAAAATCGCAGAGGGAACTGAGGTCGACTGATTTGAACAGCTGCTGCAAGCAAACTTGTTTGACAGATCGCGCTAATTTTTGGCAAGGTAGTTAAGGTTCATGCTATCGACTTAAAAAAAAAGTAATGGGAAACTTTATGGTCTTAATGTGTACACACATACCTTATATAACACTTGTTGTAAGTAAAATGAGAAGATACCCATAGAGGTTTCTTAGCAACTTCAAGGCCGGAGAGCCCGCCGTTTAAATTGATGGAAGAAAATTTTGAGATCTAGGAATTCTTTAGACTACTATAAAATCGTTCTAAAAATGAATAATTGTAACACTCTCAATGAGAAGACACCAAAAGAAGTATGGTAAGCAAAAAATGGGTCGAAAATAAAATTCTTCACTGACAAGTGAGGAGGGTCTCACAATGAAAACCTCATAAGAGCTCATTAGCCATTCGGTAGTTTCCAACAATTGTTGGAAAAACATTTAGACCAATATATAATTGGAGAGGAGTTCGAGCGAAAATCTCTTGAGCGGCCATAAAGAGTGGATCTTTTACTAATCTTTTTGAGCAGCAACTTTTTTGGAATTTCAAATTTTCCTTAAGAATTTCAACGTCTCAAATATTCAGTACAAGATTTGCGATTTGCGAACTGCTTAAGCTTACGCTGTCCGCGTCGCAGCTGCGTTTCTGTTGGACTATTTTTTTGTGGGAAGTCTTTTAGGATAAGTACTACGCCAACCAGCCAACCAGACAGAGCCGATTTATGATTTGAAACCAGAAATTAAAGTCGCCCACGCAGCCAGAGAGAGCCAAACAATCAAAAATTTGTTGAAAAATTGGTTCTGCCGACAGAACGGAATAAACTACTGCAAGGCCTTTTGAGTGAAGTGGTGTTTCGTTATGGACTGGCAAAATAAAGCCAAACTCTGTGAAAAATATGTTTAAAAATTTATGAAAATTGTGAAATGCAAATTTTATGTGGCAGCCGCCGTGAAATATTTTACTCTAAAGGCGCCGTGAATAGGAACGAATAAAAAGACACAGGGAATGCCTCATTTGGCGATCGAAGCCGGTGAAGCGGGGCATTCGTCCACTAGTTTACTACACTATGACGTAATACATGTATTTAATTAAGTTCTTCGCTAATTAAAATTATTTTTATTTATTTATTTATTATTATTACTGAATAATATTTATTATTAAATTATTATTATTTATTAAATTTTATTATAGTCTTAGAGCTTTCTCTTTCGACAACTTCGACTCATGAAGGCTTCATAATTCAAAATATAACTTTTATTCCCCAAAATTTTCCACAGTACAAGCAAATAAATGGATTAAAAATATGGAGAAGGACAACGATCTGAAAGTAATTAAACAAAGCGATCCCAACTACATGCAAATACTGGAACTCTCAGTGACGTATGGAAATCCGGTACTGATTGAAAATGTTGGTAAGTGGAAAAGATTTTGTTTTTTCCATACTTAAGAAATAAAAATGTTAAGAAAAAAGGATTTTTGCTGAATATTTCGCGCCATGAGCGGAAACAAAAATTATGCGAAGAGTAACTTAGCGGTATATACCGCTTTTTGATATAGTTTTAGCTATTCACATAGTTTTCGCAGTGTTTTCTTATTTATTTTTCTGATTATTCAAAATCTCAATGCAATTTAGTGATTTTATATTCATCACTTCACTTGTCTGTCATTTCTTATTCAGATGTACCTACATATGTGTGTATATAGTAACATTTGTAATTATGTAGTGTAGCAAAACGAAAGTCTATGATGACCTACGGCAATTTGTCTTATTAGAAAAAAACGCATACCTCAACTACGTGCCTTGTTTAAGGTTTTCCATTTCGTCGTTTCAAAAATACTGAATTTTAGGGTTTGTCAAACTTAACTTCAAGCCAAACATGCTTTGCTTTAGGCAAAAGTCAAGCATTTATGAAAACGAATCGCTCAAAATCCGCACAACGCGTTAAAATTGTTTAAATCACTTCGAAAATAGCCACATTTCGTGCTTTACGAGCAGATTTCGCTGCACATAATCGTCCAACTACTCAAGTATCTAATTGGTAAAATTGTAAGGAAATTCGAAGAGACTTGATCGGTTGCAGATAGTTTTAAATCTATGCATCACTGTTTTGCATCTACTGAAAGTGAAGGTGAAACCCGAATGTGTCTATTTCTCGACGTTCCAAGAGCTGAGATTTTCTTAGAGCATATTTCTCACTCGGAGAATATCTGAATAAGCATAATTGTCGTTTTTAGAGCCGAGAATTCCCAAAAAACAAATTTAGGAGAGCACATTAAACCCACAAAAAGTTAGTTGTCTGTTGCGCTCCTTATTCGGGAGGTGTGATTTGGGCTTATTTCTTTGAAAACGACAACTACGACACTGTCACTGTCAATTCCGATGATTATGGTCGTCTGGTGACAGACTTTTTCTGACCTGCAATAGAAGAACACACCTTGGACAATATGTGGTTTCAACAAGATGTCGCTACATGCTACACAATGCGAGTGAATATTGCTTTATAACGAGAAAAATTTCCTTGCCGCATAATCTCTCGTATTGGCGATGTCAATTTGCCACCGAGATCATGCGATTAGACATCGTTGAACTCTTTTGAGGGGCCAAGCGACTAAGCGGTCAAGCACTTAAAATTCAACATTCCTCAAATTACAACTGAGATCCAGCCCAATGTGTACCGGGAAGTGATCGAAAATTACATCAAACGTTTCGAAGATTACAAAAATTCTCAAGACAGTCATTTAATTGCAGAAATTTTTTTTATCTGATATTATATAAAGCCAAAGTTTAAAAGAGTTTCATAAAAAAAAAAATATTTTAAAACCATTTTATTGACATTTCTTTTCGAAAAAGCAAAATATACAGCTCTGTGCGCTTAACAGATTTAGGTGGCTGCGTATTTTTTCAGAAAGATCGAACGTCTACATCCCCACTATTCCATACATTGTTTCTTTCCTTTTATTACATATGTATGTATATATGTATATATGTATATATGTATGTATGTGCTTCTCCGAATTGGCTAAGATTAATGACACAATGAAGTCAGCTAGAAATAATAAACGAATGACGTCGGTACGAAATCCAATTAAAGGCATGACAACAATAACATCAACCAAAAATCTAAATCTGTACATATGTACATGTGTAACTCCACCAAAAAAAAAAAAAAGAACACTTACGAAAATGATTGTTGAGCTCTTCAATTGAATGGACTTGTTGTGGTTTGGAGTATGTAGACACAGTTACTTGTCGAAATATTCATTTATGCGCCAATACTGAATTACTGTATGTGCGTTTGTTCATAAATACAAAATTAACAAACGCATCAACTTCAAGTTCATGGTGATTTGCAATTTTCGTATTGCGACAAACGAATTACTTGTCAAATCGTAATGTATCAAATGATTTGAACATTTTTCAAAACGAAAACAAAAAAAACCAAAAAAAAAACAACAAAAACGTAGAAAACGCAGTTCCGTTTATTTTTCAGCCACGTGTCAGTGGGCAGCAGATGATTTGATGATTTTTATTTTTTTGGAATTTTTTTTTTTAATTTTTTTTTTTACTTACTCATTGTAAGTATTTTGTATCAAATTATGACTCTATAAAGTGCTTTGTGACGCAGTTCTACGGCTGTAGGAAGTATAGAGTGATTAAAGTTGAAAACGGTATAGAATACACGACTGGCCGGCCGTACGACCATCAATGTCACTATGGTCCAATCTATATAAAGAGTAATCCATTTCGAGATTTCCTTATTTTTAAGAGAAAAAAACTCAGTAAATTCAAATTTATATATTTATTTATTTTTTTTGTTTAGTTGAATATTTCCTTTTTGGAAACTAACAGTAATTTCCACTGTGTTACCACTGTATAGATTAACAAAGTAAGCTAAGTACAATAACTAAGATTTATCAAAGAATTATATAGATATCATGCGGAATACCAAACACTCATTTTCTTAAAATTTAACAAACGATATATTATAAAAGATAATTAAAAGTAAATTATAATATCATGAAGGATATATGCGGAGCGCAACTCCAATGTTGAATAATTGGATGCGGCAGAACCCTTAGTCACAGTTCAAACGTAAATCCTATCTCTTTTATCGCTTAGGGTAGTTCTCCTATAATAATTTTTAAGGCAGAAAGTTTGGATGGTCAGATAAACTTAATGAGTAATTTTTAAGCAGTTTCTCCATTTCCTCAGAGACGGCTTTGCCTATTGATCTTAAGGTTTTAGACTGCAGTTTTTGAATTCTACCTAGGCTAGATTTAGATGCTGGGCTCCAAAATTCAAGATGGCTTTATAAGCATATTAAAAGGTAAATCTTTCTTTTCTAGACTTAGTTTGGACTTAGAGCCTACGATCCAATGCAAGTTCGCAATTGTCAATTTCGTTTGAGTAATCTTTTTGTGTATGTGTTTGTGTATGTGTTTTTTCCAGGTGAGTATTTTATCCAATGTAACTCCCAGGTAGGAAACGAATTCTTCCTGAAGTATTGTATTCCCATTTATAGGGATTGAAGAACATGTGTTTTTTTAGAGTAAATGTTACTTGTACACACTTAGACTCATTGGCTTTAATTCTCCAAGTTGTTAGCCACTCTTCTATTACTTTTAAATGTTCTTGTAATCTGTAACTGGCTTTCATGGGGCTTAAATGGACACTAAGTATTGCTGTATCATCTGCAATAATTGATGTGTTGAGGTTTCGGTTTGTGGGAAGGTCGTTCGTATAAATTAAATACAAGACGGCCCCTAAAACACACTTCCTTGTGGAACACCAGCAAATATTTCATAGAATTCAGTGGTGTGACTTTTTTGCCTAACACGAAATTTTCTGCCAATAAGAAAGCTTTCTAGGACATCATACATTTTTACAAGAAGCGTACTTTCAGCTTTAGACCATCTAACCAAACTTTATCAAGTGCCTGTTTCAGTTTTCTTTCGACAAGGCGTTCTTTTCGACTCGGGTGCAAGCATGGGAGATATCTCCTCATGTATATTCTTCCAACAGTTGTGACGAAGCTTGCCAAAGCGCTTTTATTTTTACAGGTCTTTAGATACTTTTAAAAATCCACTTAAATCAATATTTTGTTGTTTTCCTTTTGAACAAATTGAAAAATTAAAAATTATTAGTAAGAAATTGATTCAGTGCATATTGTACAAAAGTTACTAACACAATATTAATGTGTCTAAAAATGCTTATGGCTCTTTTACGCATGTATGTATGTATGTATCTGAGTGTCAAACCTGTTTCTGCACGTGTAGCTAGCGCTTGCTGATCAAACGGTTTATGGCTTTGGATTTCTTGGAAATTTTATTTACAGTTCACGTGCGGTTAACGCAGTTGAAATTTTTTTTTTTTTTTTTGTAACAAAATCAATTGGTGTAGCTAAGAGTAGTGAGAAATAAAAGCCGTTGATTTTTTATTTTTATTTTATTTATATGGGGTTATCCGTTTCGTGAGGTCAAAAGTATAAGGCTGAAATTTTTAAGTCTACCAAACTTAATTGCTTAAAAACAGCAAAAGACAAGTTTTTAAAACCAACTACAAAAATGGTCATCGTGCTTTAAGAGCAGATTATGGTGTACATAATCATCCAAACTACTCAATCATTTCGTAAGATTTTACAGAAATTTGAAGAGACTTGATGAGTTACAGATATTTTAAGGCCTGTGCGTCACCGTTTTTCATCTACTGTAAGTGAAAGTGTAGCCAAAGACCCGAACGTATCTATATCACGGAATACTTGAATTTTCTTACCAACTTGTACAACAACTGCCGCCAGCTGGTCATTTCCAACGCTCTTCATACGGCGATTGGGTACTTGAACAACAAGCAGTGAACGTCGATTTTGCTAACAAAATTTTCTTCAGTGGCGAGACATGATTCTTTCTCACTCGGGGGATATAAAGCTAAGCAAACTTCTCAAATAATTGAAGAGAAACCATTATGGCTTTATGACAAGAGAAACTTCCCGGCTGCGTAATCTCTCGTCTTGGCGATGTCTATTGACCACTGACATCGTGCAATTTGGCACCGTTGAACTCTCTCTTGTGGAGTTACGCGAAAGACTTCAAAATCAATGTTCATCAAGTTATGGCTAAGATACCACCCAAAATGTGCCCATAAGTGTTTGAATATAACCTCGAACGGTTCGAAGTTTGTAAAAATTTGCAATACGGCCATTAGAATGATATAGTATTTCACTTCACTCCAAGGTTCAAAATTTCTAAAAAAAAATCGTGCTAAAAATTATTTTAAATGAAATTTAATTTTTGTTTATTTTCAAAACTACAAAATAGATATCTCTGTATCATTATTATAAGTTATGTACGAAAATCTTTTATTAATGTTTGCTTTGAAGATTTTTGAGTTTTTGCATCTAAAGTTATTACACCATTATTCACACTCATTTTCAATAATTTCAATATTTTTTTTTAATATTAACTTTCAAATGTGAAAAAGTTTAGTCAATATTAATAATGCATAAATAATGCAAAAACACTAATATGAAAAGTTAATTAACGTTATAATACATTTAATCCGTGACATTTGAACCTGCGTAATTAAAAATACTTTTTTACATTTCTTTTTTTTTTTTTGTAGCGTCAAATTAATCGAATTTTAATAAACCACGTTATTTATTTATTAATCCAAACAAATAGTGTTTGATTTTACATTTTAAGCGTTATTTAAGTGCATAAGTATGTGTGCTGTTAAATGAAATCAATATGTTAAACATGTAAACAGTAAAAATTTACAACAAAATATCGTGTAACAATAATAACAAAACAAGTACAAATTTGTACTAGAACAAAAATTGAAGCACTAACTTGGCAATACGTATTTGCGCAGAGAGATATTTCTTTTTTATTTATAATATTATTTATAATAATATTTTTTTTTTTTTTTTTTTTTGGTACATGTTTAATTAACATTTCAATCGCGCTTACAGTCATCATTTGCAAGGTAAGGGCTGTGCGATGGATTACAAATGAGTTTTTTATTAAATCAATAAATAAGTAATGACAATCGCCGAGTGTGTTGAATTTTAACTGGGATTATAATATTTATTTACTAGTTTTAGCTTAGATTTAAATTATAAATCAGAATGTCTGTTAGTTTTAAAAGCTTTGCAATTACGTTTCTGTTTTTTTTTTGCATCGTACATGTTATCCCTGCGCCTAAATGTAGGCAACATTTTTCACGGCAGAGTATAAAAAATATTGGTAATATATTTTTCGTTGCCTACAATTAGGATGGTTTTTTTTTTTTTTTTTTTTAAATATAAAACTATTTTTAGTGGTTTTTTTTTTTTTTTGTAAAGAAGAACCCAGCGTTACCCTGCTGCCGCCCAACCGACCGAGGGGCAGGTTGACCGAAAGTAATTAATTAAATAAAACCAAAGTACATAGATCAATTAAACTACTCCAAAAAAAATGTTAAATATGTCCTTCAATATATATATTTATACTGACAACTAATTTAATCTTTCTATGAAACAAAACTACGTAAAAATTAAAAAATGTTCAATAATTCATTTATTCATCATTTATTCATATTTCACGATATTCACAGAAAAAGAAAGAAGTGGAATTTATAGATTTTCCATTTAATTAACTGCAGTCGTTCAGCATAACGCTTCGGGCATTGGAAAAGCTTACACACAAACACCAGCCACATGCTCATTTAGTTGTTTGCACAAAATTTCCCATTGAATTTTTTAATTAAAAATTTCCTTTCACATTGCACAGGTGAACGTTTAGATTCAAATTTGACGCCAATCCTAGAGAGAAACGTAATTAAACACAAAGGTGGTCTCTTTATTAAAAGCGGTGACACTATGCTGGAATATAATCCGAATTTTCGTCTGTATATAACAACATGTTTGCGGAATCCACACTACTCACCGGAAATAATGGTTATGGTAAGTGTAAGCATGGAAGGGCTATATATACATGCATATGCATTTATGTATGTATGTACCATATATTCCTAAAAAATCTAACCAAACAAAATTATTGCTTGGCAAATGGCACTTTTCCCTTTTTTCTATTTGATTTACTCTGTTCGGTGATGCTCTCATTATTACGTGCTCCCGGCGGTAGCATCTCTTTGCATTGCTTTTCTTTTGATATTTTGACATTTCAAAACGGGTTGGAGCAAACAAATAATAAACTCTTAAGCTTTATTAATTTTTTTCTCTTTTAACTTAGTCTGAAAATATGAAATGAAATTTCTTTCAGCGCTTTTCTTCAAAGCTTTCATTTTTTCTTTTTTAAGCAAACCCTATTCGTCCATTTGGAGTTAAGAAATAGATATAATGAAAGCTTTTTTTCGAATATTACCTGCAAGCTTGCTCTATGGAAACAAGCTTTCTGACTTCTTTTCTATATAAAAGTAAATTTTAATAAAATTAAAAAATAAAATTTCCTATGAAGCTTTTCTATCAACCAAGTTACTTTTTATCTTACAATTCTTATAATTGAGTTTCAGAAAATAAATTTTTTATTATTTCATAAAACGTTCTTTTGGAGTATTTTTTAAACGCTTTGCTAACAAGCCTAAGCTTCTAATTGAGACTTTTTTATGCAAACTCAGTTCGTATCACTAAATTTAATAAGATCATACAACGAAAGTTATTTTTGCGCTTTTTCTTGGAAGCTCAACTTATGAGAGCAAGCTTTGAATTCCTATCTTTTAAAACAAATTTTAGGAAGTCACATACTGAAAGCTCTTATCGGGCTTATATAACAAATTGTTCTATCAACCGTAGGCTTCTAATTAGTACTTACTTATGCAAACTCAGTACCAATAACTGATATTCAGAGAAGCATAGAATGATAAATACTCTGGAGTTTTTTGATGAAAGCTTCTTGCCAACTACGCCTCAGTATTTTACTTAATTATATATGCCAGCGAATATTGTCGTTTTATATGTAAAACGATTCTTGAATAAGTTCCCAAAAATTATTATAGAATAGATTTTCTTATGTTTTCATTTTATTCTATTCATTTATTGGCTTTGATTGGGCTTTTCTTTGTATGCCTTTTATTATATATGTATATATTTTCTAAAAACTTTTCCATACTTATTTTACTCATACTATTTTTATCTTCATTTTTCCCTTCCCAGGTCGCCGTATTGAATTTCATGATAACCGAACAAGGTTTACGCGAGCAGCTGCTCGCCAATACTGTTGCACGCGAACGTCCCGACCTGCAAGAGAAAAAGGAACAACTGATTGTTGAGTCTGCGAAAAATCGTGATGCTTTGTATACAATTGAGTCGAAAATTCTTGAGGTAAGGTGTAGAGAATATTATGGAAATCTGATTGAGAAAAATTATCGTTAGGTGGTTCTTAACATCACCGGAGCGCCACCATTAGCAGACACAATCACTCTTGAAGCCATTTAGAGGGTTTCCCTCTTGAAGTACCCTTGAAGGGAACCAGTTTCTTGACTTAAAACATAATACTGTTAAAATTTGTCGACCTAATATGATCTGTCAAAAATCAGACTCCAAATAAAAACATTCAGTTTGCCTTTTCATGGTTTCCAGACAACTCTCTTGAGGCTAGAAGGGTTTGAAATCAAATTATTTTTGTAGATGTTATAAGGAATGAAAAGATTGCTTGTTTGCCGACTAACGAGACCTAAAATATATTTTAAATAAAAAGCAAAATTAGTGACCAAATCTGCTTGAGTGTGTAGAGCAAAGCCAAATGTTGTAATTCTTGATAAAGCAAAAAAAAACTGCCTGGTCGATAGATTTTTCAATCTATATTTTTTTAGCCAGTTTTCATGTCAAAAAAAAATCCCTGCCGTGGAGCTACACAACTAAAAATAAAAAAATTCTGTAACTTTGTATGTCTGGTCAGATGCGGACTCGAAAGTCAGTACGTAATATTAGCCACTTGGCTAAAATATAAATGGCGCTTTGTAACCACTGCAGCGATTCTCGGCCGAGCTCCTCCTCCAATTGGTGGTTTTGCATCCTGATGTTTTCTACTCATATATGGAAGAACCTACAGTTTATACTAAGCTGCCTCTAAACTGTTGATAAGTTTTTTATGGGAAGCCTTTATTTCATGCCCGAAAAACACATGGAGGAGTAGACATTCTCTGCCGAGGGGCGACCGCTATTAAAAAATTTAATATAATTTTTTTGTTGGTCGCACGGTGATTTGAACCCTGGCATTCCGAATGGCAGTACGTTATGCTAACAACTCTTCAATAACAATCATAGATCTCTCAATCTAATGTCGCAAAAGGCTAAAAGCAGTTTATTGCTTTTGAGACGAGCTCACCATCTATACCGATCTTTAGCCATGGCTCCGTCAAAACCTCGTGTTCCTCAGTTTCATAACCTACATATTTTGTTAGGGGAAGGTAAGAAAAGTTTTCAAAATTCTTTATTAATAAACATAAAATTCCTGCAAGCATGCCCGGACTCAGTCTTCAGCTGCCTGACATTTGCTAGAATGAATTTCATTTTTTTTTTTTTTTTCTTTTTTTTGAAGCAAGTTGCCCATATAACTTAGTACGAAAAATCTACGATTTTTTCTTTTAATTATACATATTTCTCTAACCAGCTGAAGATATCCAAGGTGAAAACGGCGATATTTGTACATACGCTCCATGCTTGACTGTTGAGCAAATGATTTAAGCTATTAATGCTTATAGTTCATAGTTCACACACATACATATGCATATAAGCGTAATTCCACGATTAATGTATCTCCAAAGCAAATAATTGCTAAGGCTTTCACCTCAGAAGACATATCGTGCACTGCTAGACACCGCTGTCTAAGCGCATATGACAATTCCACGTTGCAAGTTTACTAAATTCAAGTTTACCAAGCCATCCATCAACGGGATATACAAACAAACAGCTCCACTAATTCACATTAAAGTGTACATATATATACATATGTTTATACGCGTATAATGTCTAGTACTTTAATACTCATATATAATGCCCAACTACTTAGTCGTACATACACATATATACATATATCGATATATACATACATACCGAATTACATATGTATGTTTTTATTTAAAGCAAACATAATTCAACTGAACTTCATCGCAAACATTATAGCCACATTTATACTCCTTCTCCGTTTAAACTGCCATTCTGCTCTCATTTGTAGGTACTCTCCTCCTCGGAGGGCAATGTACTGGAGGACGAGAACGCCATCAACATCCTGTCATCAAGTAAAATACTATCGGAGGAGATCCAAGAGAAGCAAGTAATCGCCGTAGCAACTGAGACGGAAATTGACGCTGCACGCCAACAATACGTACCGGTGGCCAAACATTCCGCCATACTCTTCTTCGGCATCAGCGAACTGGCAAACATCGATCCAATGTATCAATACTCGTTGGCCTGGTTTCTGAATCTATTCGTCAATGCAATAGTGAAGGCGCCGAAATCGAATGTGCTTGAGGAGCGTTTAGAGCATTTGAATTATTACTTTACGAAATCAATTTATCAAAATGTTTGTCGATCACTTTTCGAGAAGGATAAGCTTGTCATATCGTTGGTTATGTGTTTGGGTATTTTGGTATCGCGGGTGAGTATTTCACTATAACTTTGATATGTGTGTTATGTGTAAATGTGCAATAAATACTCTTAGCTGTACATACATACTTACATATTTATACATATACACTTCTACATTGAAGTAAGTAAGAAATGTGAAGTTTTCGCTTTTAAGAGTGGCAAATGAAGGACAAGAGTTGGCGTGAAATAAGTTAATTTTTTTTGCACTTGAGCATCCATTAACGTGCAATTGTTGTAATGTCTAAGCTTTTAACATTAAACAAAAAAATTAAAAATACTCACCGTGCAACGCACAGTGTGCGACATCTAATATTTTGGTACTGACAATAAAATGCGGATGACGAAAAAAGCTCAAACGAAATGCCAAGGCAGCAAAAAAAATTAAAAAATTAAATTGAATTAAATTAAAAATCAGAGTTAATATTTTGAAGATAGTATACTCATAGGTGGATTTTGGCCGAGGACCATAAACTCAATTGAGAATGATTATCAAACAATGCTATAAGAAAGTCAATGAATGCAGACGGGGGATTCAATAGCCAAGTAGGGTTCAAATTTTAAGACCAATCAAGTGTCTCTTTTCAGTGCCGCAAAGTTTCAAAATTCAGAGTAATATTTGGCAACCCTGCAAATACGGGGTTGTCTAACTTGGCATTAGATGAGACGCTACATCATTCAAATGACTGCCACATACTATTCAAGTTGTGTTTTTCACCCCCAGGCCAAACCATAGCGCTCCGTATTTAAGTTGACAATATCGATGTTGTAGTTTTCAGAGAAAAAAAAGCCCAATCCCATTTCCGGACCAAAGAGCTCACAAGATAGTAAGTTTGCTGCAATGGCCTCCTCTCTTTAATTATTAGAGGTTTCACGGAGCCCCAAATGCGGCAATTTGATTCCTTTACAACTGCTTAATATTCCAACACCCAAACGGCGTATATACGGCATTGTTAATGTTCGACAGGCTTCATTTATTGTGTGAGCTGGAGTACATACGGATCTAGGTGTCAGTTCATGGGCAGAAATGTGGCGATAAGCTCCGGCTCTTGAGAACGTCGAGAAAGAGATATATTCGAATCTTGGACAGCACTTTCATTTACAGTAGTCATATTTTGAGTGGAACGAGGAAAATGATGATTTATTTGTCGTACAATATCTGTAACCGATCCAGTCTCTTTAAAACTCCTTCAAATTTTTTTTTTCAATTTCTTTAATAGTTGGAGGATTACGTGCAGCATAATCTGCTCTTGAATCGCCATTTTCATAGTAGATTTTAATAATTTTAACGCGCTGTGCGGTCCTTCCTATTTCTTAAATGCCAGACTTATTACTAAAACTAAACATGTTTTGTTTGACAGCTAAGTTTTCCAGAAGTCAAAATACATCCCTGTACTTTTGAAACCATGAAATGGATAACCCTTTCGTTAAGTTATGGTTGCAGTTGGAATTCCAACTCTCAAAGTTAGTTTATAGAATCCTGACTTGGCTTATAGCCCAATGTTAATATGAAAGGTTCTTTTGGTTCGAAAAAAGTAGGCAAGTATGCACTGAACAGTAACACTCGAACACATAAAAGCCTTTGATTTCCTCAGGATATTTCTTGGAAGCATTATTCTCGAAGAAAACTGTATAGTGGCACGGCGGTCTATGTTTACGCATCTCTCAGGGTTGGCAACGCAGGCTTGACATTTTACTTTTTCATCAATCGAACAGCCCTGTATCAGCAACCGATCCGTTGTCACCAGAAAGTAATCGGTCTTCATTCAGCGAGCCACTGCCCACAGGTCCCTACCTTGCGACGGTTGCTACCATCAGTTCGTCTTTGGTACATGGCTGTGCTATTGTTATAAGAAAAAAAACTATGTTACCAACAATCCATTGGTTGGCCGTACGATTACAGCACGTATCGCAAGTGTGACTCACATTCCATCGTATGGCTCAAGCACGCAAACGAGTCGCGCGGCCATATCGTCCTACCTTTAGTGTCAACTGCACACCTACCACTCATAACCGACTACTCTGACCTTGTTGAACCCTACTATGGTCTGCATACCCATATCATTCATAGAGGAATATGTATGAGAAATTTGTTAAGAGAATACCATCAAGGATTCTGGTTCTTAACAGGGATATTCTCAACGAAGGCAATGGGAGCTTTTGCAAGATTCTACTGACAAATGCTACAGGTGAAAAAACCACAACGAGTGTAAAGATTGCGTCCTCCACAGTTGTAGTTTTCTAAAAGAGAAAATTGAGTCATCTACAAATGACTCCTTTGTGGGGCTGAGACTCACAAGAGCGAACAGAAATGTTACTTTTCGTAGCATTTAGGTATCTAATGTGCCTTTAACCTAACTTAAATCCGTTCTAAATATAATCTGAAAGATACTTGCTACAGTCTACACACTTCTTGTACAAGCTTTTGAGAAAAAGATCTTATGGTAAGCAAACGGTATTCTGCATTTTTTTTTTTGGATGACGCCTGGGAAGAGGAAACTCTCATGAGTACCGACATAATAGTAAGCACAATCTGCGGCCTCACAGCTGCATCTAATGACAATGCTGCATCTACTACAATGAAGTATCACTTCATGGGGCTGGTAGGCACTACGGCTCTTACGCGTACCTACATTTTAGCACAATACTTTCGGAGCATGATATATTTATAAATTACTTAGATAGCTGGCGAGGCTTGGTCTCCAATCTACCATGAGCAAAAAGTCCCAATTTCTATTCCTTTCTATCTTAGTGAGGCCTTTTTCCGATCCGTATACCCGTCAAAAAGTGTGCCTCAAATAATAATAGGCAGTCGCAATAGATCCGCTGTGAATAACCTTATACGTTGGCTGGATCATGTCGTATGGATCGGTTGGATGAAGTGTATGTTACCACTTGAAATGTGTTGGGGATCTTTGGAGACTTGACTTGGTCTTAAGGAGTCAGAGAAAAAGACCTATTGCTTAAATGGGAATTTGAAGCCAAATAAATTTTGGATTTACTTACTTACTTATATAATATATATAATAGGCGCTTTGCAACCGCTGAAGCAATTTTCCGCTGAGCTCCAATTTGTGGTTTTGCGTCTTCATGTTTTCCCAACGAATTGAACGACCTACTACAGTTCATACTAAGCCGCTTCCGAACGGCTAACGGTTTTTTATGATGAGATTTATTTCATGTCAGAAATACACTCGGAGGGGTTGGTATTCCCTGCTGAGGAGCGACTGCAGTTAGAAAATTTAGGCTAATTTTGTTTAATTAATTAATTAATGTTGATCGAACGGGAACTTAAGCCCGAGCGTTCTGAATGGCAGTACGTATTGCTTGGCTCAGCTACCGCGGCCGCCAAGTACGTATATAAATATAAGGTGTAGTAAAAAGAAATCCATTATTTTTCTTAAAGATGATTTTATTTATCGTTTAGTTGTATAAGACCAATCGGGTTCCACTAGCAGGCGTTCACAGGATAAAATTATTGTTAATATATTGCGCTAAAAAAGCTTTTTCAACAGTTTTGTGTTTAGTTGATTCAGTTTTGTTTGAGCGTGCGTCAAAGATGGACACTGGCCGTTACAAAAATACGCTATATTTTGCAGTTTTCTTTCGATAGGGGCGATAGCACAAGCCAGGCGGCTGATCATGCAGAACCTTGTTTTCATTGCGGTAATTTTGATGCAAAAGATGCTGCACGGAGTGGAATGCCGGTTGTCGAAAATGTCGATAAAATCACGGACAATGTCGAGTCCGACTGTTGAGTAAGGCTGAATACGGAAAGTAAAGGTTTCTTTGTACCAGACCTAATATGTATTTGTTTACAAATGCATGTGATTAAGTTGCTGCAATTCCGTCCGCTAAACACTTTGCCATTTCTTCGGGAACTTTCACACATAACAACAAAACTTTTATTCTACCATTTTTTGCAAGAAACATCTGAAGATCTCTCTCTTTTACTCTTTATTCAATTCATTTTTTTTCGCAGTATTTATGCTAAAGAGTATTTTCTAAGGAAGTAAGCATAGGCGAGCGTTTTTCTACGCTGCCTTTGGCCGGCTTTTGAAGCCATCGCTATTGCCATCTTAATGTTGATTAATTTTTCATTTAATCCCATTTAATTTGCATGAACAAACATAAAACTGCAATCATCTAAATGGAACTTACCATTTGCTAATTTCCAACTTCACTCACTTGCTGCCGTTTATTTTTTTTAGATCTGTGTGTGTGTGTGTTTGTGTGGCCATTATAAACGATGCGGCATTTGTATTTCAGCGGTTGGTGTTTGTTGCTTAGTATTATTGTTGTTGTTGTTGGCTGGTGTTGTGCGAACTCGTTCATTTCGTTGCATGGCGGCAAAAACGCCGCTGCTAATACCTACCGCCCGCCGCCTACCGCCTAATATCTACTTACTTACGGTACTTTGAACATTTGCCAGCAAACAACAAAACTTTGACAACAACAACAACAGCAATAGCAATGGCAATGGCAATGATAACAACTAAAATGCCAACAATGCCATTAAACATTCCTTTATGTTGCACAATAACTAACTAAAATAAAACTTCCACTTCAACTAGCAACCAACACATACACACATACCTACACACACATCAAAACAAAAAACACAAAATAATCAAAATGATAACAATAAACAAGCAACTACTAAACCATGTATATATATATATATTGAATATAAAATGCAAAAATTGCAATACTAACTTCTCCTTCTCCTTCTCGCCTCCTTCTCGCACTCCGCTCCGCTTCCCGCTTGGCGTCACGTTGTGGTGTTACTTTGGTCTTGGCTGCTCTTAATACTGCTGCTGCTGCTACTACTGATGACTGCGATGGCCGCACAAAACTCTTTTGCCAATGATGCTGCTGATATGCCATAACAACTGAAAACAACAACAATAACAACAACTGTACGGGAAAACAACTTAATGCAAAAATGCACAAACAGGGCAAAATAAATAAATCGCATTTGTTGTTCTTCTTGACTGGAGGCGTTGGCTTGGAAGCGGTGCCGCCTAATCCGGACAATAGTTGGCTACCGGAAAAAGCTTGGACACAAATATTTCGCGCTAGCGATATTGAAGGGTAAGTAGATAATGAGAGGGGAAATACTAAATGGCAGAATGAAAAACCCTTTTGGGGGAAAAAGCTTAACTATTTAATTATTTAAAAGTGAGATCTGAAATTTATCAATATTTTTTGTTTAAATAAAATTATTTTTTGCCATTTGATGTCATACAGTCGCTGAATAGATTTTCAGCCGAGCATCTCCTGTACGTTGTAGTCGGTTTTTATTATTTTTTTTTTTTTTTTTTTGCAACAACTCGAGGCATCCACAGCTTTTTTCTAGATGGCCTTCGAACGAATAGTAGATTTTTATGAAGAACTTATTATTTCATGTCAGAAATACACTCGAAGGGATTGGTATTCTCTGGCCGAAATTCGGACGCTTACAGTTTAGCACGCACCCACTACCTACCACCCGCCTACACCAGCCCTTCCTTAGGCTTACAAGAGATTACAAATGATTAGTTTCAATATTTAATACGAGGTGGGTTCAAAAATTATCTCTCTCCCTCTCTCTTCCTCTCCCTCTTTCTCTTCCTCTCTCTCCCCATCGTTACCACTCTCTCTCGCTCTCTCCCTCTCTCTCTCTATCTATCTACACCTACCTTCCCTGATCTCGATATCTCCTAGCTTCGTCTCTTGAAACTTTCTTGGAAAGTTGAGCAGAACGTTGATTGAAATCTTTATTGGTGTAGGCGGCGCTTACACGATTATAGCCAAAGGTCCTATAAAGAAATTCTTTATACATTTGCCTTGATCGCAATTAAAATGGCAAGTTCTCTTCCAAGGGTGCATTATTGTACTAATTTTGAGTAACAGTAGTAAATATACGAAACAGATTTAATACACTATCTGAATAGGGAGGGCTTTATACATGGTTTCATGGTTCCCACTGTGACTGTTATGGCATATCCAAAGACAAAATTACTCACTGTTACACTCTACGCATTTATTATGCTCTTTCTTTTTGATGCCTTCGAAATTTATTATATAATTACTTCGAGCAAGCCTCTCTTGAGTCTTAGTTATACTAGCTTAAAATTTTTCCCTAGAAAGCAAATTGAAACCGCAGTTCTGTTTATAACTTAAAATCTAAAATGAGTTTCGCCAAATTCCATACCCGCTCAATGCAGGTTTAACTAGTTCCATGCTACCTTATCTATTACTGCCCACTTAGCATACATTTTACGGTCAAACTATGCCCCCAAATAGGGCTGACCATAACCCATGTTCCTTTCAAAAATAATAACATATAATTTCTCCTTTTGACGAGAGACAACTAAAATAGTTCTTTTCAGAAGAATTGATAACCTCTCGCATCATAAGAACTAAGCAAACACTGCTAAGCCATTTGAAGTAGAAAAATCACCAATTCCTTACCGAGGAAAGGAGGACTAAATTAAGCGAGACACTGTTGGTGTTGCGGAATATATATGAGCTTGCTCTTTAAGCGAATGGAATACTCTCTCATCTGCATTACTCAGGCGAAGCACTTAAGCGCCTAGACAACGTATCAAATGATGTAATCATATTTTTGCGCTGCTCCTATATTTTTTTTTTTAAATTTTAATATGGCTTAATAACAATAGGGGTTCAAGCGCAAAGCCTTCATAAAGTTCTGTGCTTTGCATTTAATGTTTTTTTTTTTTTTAATTCCTGGCGGGGCTTTAAGGCATGTGTTGCCTCTTAAGGTTACTGTGTGTGAGAGAGAAGTCTGTTTCAGACTGTTGACTTTCCTTAACTCTTTTTTAACTCTTCTCAACTCAACTTATCTCGGCTTACCTTCTTCATCGCCATCAATTAGCAAAATGTGAGCTTAGAAAACAGCGCATTACGCAATTCAATTGTTATGTAAAAGTTTTGTTCGTATTTTTCAATTATTTTATTTTATTTTATTTTATTTTACTTTATTTGTTTTTTATTTCCTTTCCACTGAAATGCAACATTGCCTCACAATGTGAATTAACGCGAATTTTTTGTCTACAAAGCCATTGCATGAGATGCGACTGAGCTTTCGCTGGCATTTTTCAAAGTCATATTTGAAGCTTTAAATTCTTCCTCTTCTTCAATTAATTCTTCATACTGTCTTTTCTGATGTAAGACTGCGCCTCAAAGCAAATAAATAATAATTTATTAATGAGCACTGCGCAACCTCAACCAGCATTCGCATTGAACTTTGTGCTTCTAATATTTCAAGGGAATCGCTGAATGAAGTTAATTAGAAGAGAGTCTATTTGCACACATAATTCATCGATATGGTAATTATACACTGCCCTTGAGCGTCTCAACTTTATTCATGAGTGGGTAGTGGCTTTAGCAGTGAATAAAAATATGTTGAAGACGCCTTCAAATGAAGGAGTCTCGGTAAATTATATAACTGCTCACTCAATATGGAGTAAATATTTAACTGTTCTTCTCATCTGAGTGAAGAACCCATAATGTAGAGTACGGCACCTAAAAAAAACAAGAATTCCAGCAAGTTGGTGCAAGGTACGAAGTATAATGTGGACGCACAAGGAGCTCCCAACGGCGTGGCGAGTCACTTTCGATATGTGTGGGGTCTGTCATTGTACTGATTAAGCAGAAATCGCCACCTGTTGTCCAAAGCTGAGCGCTACTGGCTGATTTCTTCCTTCTGACGATCCAATTGATAACAGTATGGGCTCAAATGCAGAATTGGGACACAGGAGAGCAGCTAATTTTGAATGATTTCTTGCCAATTCCAACACAAACCCTCCCGGCTTGGAAACCGTTTGCGCCGTCTCCCTACAGTTCAACTACGACTGTTTTCGTTTGAAGTTGCTGTAAGTGATCGTCATTTTATTACCAGTCGCCATCCGCTTCAGAAAAAGATCAAGCTTGCAACGATTCAAAGCGATTCGCAGCAGGGAATGTGGTCTATGAGGTTGTTTCTCGTTAGCACAACGAGTTTCTTTGTGTAACCAGCTTCGAGTGGTTCCAACACTGTTTTTGGTGCAAGGTTCAGCCTCTGGGCATTAAGAATAGTGCTCGCATGATAGCCAGACATGACGGCTTCTATTATTTTATCGATTTTATTACCCTAATAATCTTTAATATTAATTTTTTTCCTTCTTTCATAGTCTTAAGGACTTCTATAAACAATTTACGAAGGATATTCAGCTTTGGAAAGAATATTACGATTTATCATCGCCAGAAGAGCATCCGCTACCAAAACCCTATGATAAAATGGAAGAGATGCTGTATTTAATTATATTAAAATCTCTGCGGCCAGATAAACTTGTACCTGCCATTAGGGTGAGTATAGTCACAGTATTACTAGAAATATGCTTTTATTTAATATTAATAAATATTTTCAAGAAAAGTCTTACCAAAAGTCTTAACCAATGTTACTTGAATGAGTTGAATAAAAATGACAACTAAAGGCTTGTGTGGAAAAAGTAGGACAAACAATGCTACATTACTACTTCTCCCTCAATGTCCTTCCCTACCCGTTCCTTCCAACGAAGCTGCTATATTTTTCCGCTCAGACGAAAATGCGCTCAGTGTTTCTTTATTGTCCTCTCTCCCTTCAATTTGTGGGCTTGCGTCTTCATATTTATCCAACAAATGGAGCCTCCTACAGTTTATACTAAGCCCTCGTCGAACGGTTGATGGGTTTTTATGAGGAGCCTTTAATTCAAGTTGTGAATACTATCGGAGAGGTTGGCATACCCTACCGAGGAGCGACAGCAATAAGAAAATTGTACTGAACTTTTTATTTCAATTAATTTTCTATAACTTTCGGTTGTTGGCCGAATCAGGAATCGAACACTGGCTATCAGCAATGCTAACCATTCGGCTATCGCGGTCGCCTTTGATAACATGAGAATTTTCGCCTTGTCCCCGTTCACTACCAGCCTAGAGAAAGCGGAACTGATGACGCTGATCAAGCTTATAATGTTATCATCAACGACATACTCCAGCAGTTTTACTCTCTTAGATAAGATTGAGGCATCATGGTCACCCTATAATAAATCTCGCAGAATATTTACCGGCTGGGAGGGGTCTTACCCTATTCGAGGCTTCAATTTATACAGTTGTAAAAGCGTAAAGGGGGTACAAACCTCAGCCTCCTCTTCGGTCTCACGAAGGCCGCTTTAAGTTCAAAAATGGGCGAGTTTGTGTAAAACAGTTTTTAGCTTATTTTAATTAAGATTTTTAGCGTGATGAATACGTTGTCTCGGGTGGATTCACCAGGCCTAAACTCATACTGATAAAGATCCAAAATTTTGTTTAGGTTAGTCTCTAATGTTTCACGCAATACTCTGAGCAAGACCTTATATGCAATACGGAGGTAGTCCCGCCTTTTCTTTATCGCATATAACACTCTTATGTTCCTATTGTCTGACATTTGGCATTCATCCGAATAGTTGCCGTTCAAAAGACTATGAAAGCATTCGATAGGTGAACTTGCAATATATGGAGTCTAGATTGAATGGTGTACCTTTCACCACTCTGAAAGCTTAGTTATTTCTTCGAATCCCAACAACACCACTTAATAAATGAACTGCGAGTGAAGTGAACTGGACACTTGTCTACACAAAAGAGCACACACGTGTTGTCACACTCCAATCTCGCTCTGTGGTAATATGAAAGACTTTAATTACTCTAACCTTCAATTATTTTAAAGTTTTAACTTCATCTATGGTCATGTAAGTCATCACCGAATTGGACAAAGTTCAATCGCCCATTACTTTCGCAAACACAAAACCATAATTGTGGTACAAGTAAATGTGTGGGTGTTGTATAAGCGCCTGCCATGCACGACAATCATCACTAGTGGTAGCTACTCCACCGCTTGACCGACATAACATTAATGCCAATGCTGTCAACTGCCAAATTGTGAAATGACCATACAGCAAACTCGCCATTTTCACTGTTGCGATATCTGTCATAGCGCAGCAGGAAATGTGCAAGAGCTTTGCTCTTGCTATATGACCACCACATGTTGTCAGCTTCATGTAGAGTCTGTCTTTGACCGACCGCAAAAGTGTACAAACACCACACAATGAATGAAAGACTGGTTAGAAAAAGTACTAGTCTTGCTATCAGTATTTTCTGGTTAAATTTTTACTAGTTGGTAAAAGATCAACGTGAAAAAATTACTAACACACAAGACACAATCTCTCTAAATGGTATACTAATGCTGGAGAATGCCCATTACATTATTACCATCGAACTATTTTTGCCAAGCTTGAAAAAGATGCGCAGCGAATGGGTCTGGTAGTGAATGAAAACAAGACCAAATATTTCCTTTTCTTAAATAAACAGTCGGCGCACTTGCGGCTTAGCTCCCACTCTTCACTTCGAGGTCGTAGGTAATATCGTGTATCTAGGGATCAGTCTTAAAATCCAACGCAGAATCCCACCAGCAGGTGCTACTTTTAACTGAGTAGGCAATTGAAAACTAAAGTCCTCTCTTGCCAAACCGAAACCAAACCCTAAAAGCCACTCATCATTCTCGTAATATGCAGAAGCGTGAACTATTTCGACAGCCAATGAGTCCATTTTGAGAGTTTTCAATAGAAAAGTTTTGCGAACGCCGTTAGACGTTGGCTACGACGATTACACCAGACGATGGAACGATGAGCTTTACGAGTTGTACGAGATGACAATGATATAGTTCAGCAGTTGAAGAGACAGTGGCTACCGCAACTAGGTTATGCCGTTCGAATGAATTAAATGCTTCTAAGTATTTAGTACAGCACCCGTCGTTGAAAGCAAAGGAAGAAGAAGACCTCCGCTCCGTTGGAAGTATCAGATGGAGAGCGTTCTGGTATCACCAACTGATTGCGTGAACGGTCAATCATGAAGAAAAGATTAATTACTAAATCATCGAATTTAACAATTTTTAGGTTGCAAATTATTAAATATTTTCTTTTTTAAAACTTGCAATTGACAAATAAAAATATTGTAAATTAATTATAAGCAATTGTTGTTATTATTTCTAGCTATATATGTGCATATTTGTGCTGTTATTATTATTTATAAAATAAAATAAAATAAAATCCATGCGTAAGAGCGTTAATTAACTTTTAAGTAAGCGAAAATTAATCTTTATTCAAATTTAAACTACTTACATATTTGTACCATTTAGAACTAGTATGTAACTAGTATATGTTGGCATTAAAAATAAAATTGGTGCACTACTGGAGTTTGTTTGGCTTGCCATTTAGTTTTGTTGCGATTTGTTATAATATATATGTATATGTGTAAATATATATGGCACATATGTACATGGATGAGTACGTAAGCGCACTTGTTGTACTTTCTAAAAACTGCATAATGACGGATGTAGTTAGCAACTCAAATCCGACTTAGCAAGCTAACTAACTACAACTGACAACAATTTGTATTTTTTAGTGGAAATTTTTATTTTTCTTTTATTCCTCTTTTATACTAACCAAATGACAATCAATGCTTTCCTGCATTGCATTTACATAAATACGTACATATGTACATAGATACAATATGTTGAAAAGCGTTAGCGCTCATGCAATGCAAGAAATACATAATAAAAGCTATGAATATTTACATTCGTATGTATATACATATATTTATATATGTGTATATATTATATTTATATGCATATCAAATACTACAAAGAATACCCACAATAATACAAATGTTGCGCACACTCGTATATCCTTTTTGAAATTTTTTTATATATTAATTTTTTTTCAAAAAAAGTCTCATATAAAAGAAATATATTTGTTATAAAAAAGTTTGAAAATTCTTAAAAAAAAATTGAAAAAGTTAAAAGTAAAAAAAAAAATAAAAAATAATCTCTCTTCCAGACATTCATTACGAACAACATGGACAAGTCGTTTGTGGAGCCACCACTCTTCGATTTGAATGCCTCATTTCTTGACAGTTCGCCAAGAATACCATTGGTATTCCTACTCTCGCCTGGCTCCGATCCAATGGCCAGTCTATTCATGTACGCCAAGCAACGTAACATGTATGACAAGTAAGTTAATTAGAGAGTTCGATTGGTTGGTGGTGCACATACATACATGCATACATATGTACATAGATATACACAAAACTAGACATTGTCAAGTAGTTTTACATATGTTCATATATACAATAGTTGCAAACATTTCGATATCCTTGCACAAATTAGTCTGAAGCTCCTCAGTCCCACTGCTCTCATATGCAATAAGTTGTCGCTAGTTTTTGTCTCTTTTATGTGCTCTTTTTTTGTAGCAAACTGCGAGTTATGGGTATTATCGTCAAGTACCTGTAACTATTTTTGGCGTTCATTGAGTATTGATGTACATTTTTAACGAATCTCTCTTACTCTTCACGAGCCAAAGCTCAAGCACTCATGCCAAGCAAATCGCACTTGATGTCCTTTGTAGCGGAAAGAGAAATGATAAAAAAGGATAGCAAACAAGTTTATGAAGTTATAATTAAATACACATTCGGCTACGTAGATTGTACATAGTGACGTATCGTTAGTTTGTTTTTTCTTACCTTTTCTCATTCATCATGTCATACTCTCGCGTTTGTATTGAAGGGCCACTATTCTCCTGAATAATGCACTCAGTTTTTAATTGCTCACGATGATTGTCAATAACAAAAATGCGCAATCAATGTAAACTTATAATGAGTACAGTTATACGGAAATAGTTGGATATACATATTAATGTATGTATTTGTATTTCATTTATGACGGTAATATTTTTCATATTTTTCAAGTGCGCAGAGGTATTCGAGGATATGAAGTTCAGTCAGAGATTGAGTTTCGATAAGAAATAAGAGCTGCTAATAAATGTATGTAGAGATATAGTAGCCAGTTGTAAATAAAGGGTTATCCATTTATCGGTTTCAAATGTATAGGGTCCACTTTGGAGATCTGTCGAACTTAACTGCCCAAACATATCTTGTGTTACTTAAAAGTCACAAGCTGTCCAATATTACCTCAAACGGATCAACGTTTGCGGAAAAAAAAATGTATCTATAGGCGATGTTAAAGAAGCTTATGCCAAAGTAATTGACGCATACTGCGGGATCCGATTTTTTATGAATTGGGCAGAGCACACTTAAGTTCCAATCATCGCACATGCTTTCGGCCGACCATTTTCTGCAAACTAGCTTGATTCTTTTCTTTCTCTTTTTGGCGCCAATTGGATATACCAATTACAAGCAGTTCCTTCTCATCTGCTCTTTCCAACAGAATGGAAGTTTTCCTCTTCCTCTGGCACCACCAGCGGGTACTGCTGAAGTTTTTTTTATTCATCCGGACCACATGATCACAGGACAGTCGCTGTCTGTTAGCAATGTCATCGCAACTTGCAGAGGACTATAAATCTTACGCAAAACTTTTCTCCTAAAAACTTGCAGCGCTGACTCCGGTCTTAAAAATTCCGTAAGTCGCCGCATCTTTACGTATTACTTTTGAACATTACCCCAGTCGGACAGCTAATCAAGCTTTTCAACCTAGATCTTTCTTGTGGCACAGGCATTTTGCTTCGATCTAGCGATTCAGCTCTGATATCCAGCCTACCCCGCCAGAGGTTTTTGGGGTAGACAGTATGTGTACTCCATATATATTGCTCATGGCACCACTCCCTCTTCTGACATTACCAACAATTAATAGCTTCGTTTCTAGCTATACGAAGAGAGCTGAAATGGTGTACAACATTCTCCTTATACCAAATTGCTGAAGAGTGTTCTGTGAAAGCCACAATACAAGTTGAGAAGAAAACCCCATTCGGTTGTGTGTTGGGATTGTAGCTTTTCGACGTCGCGCTTTACTCGAGTTCGTTGACGGGCGTTTTTTGCTGCATAGAGACGCGTGTATATCTTCGCTGCGACAATCTAGTGAACGGTGTTTTGATTTGGAACGCGATTTGGTTGTGAGTTTTTCGAACTAAAGTCAGCCAAGTAGTTTGCTGAATTTACTTATTCCGGTATCTGGTACAACAGAAACCCATATTTCAGCGAAGGCCATCAATCTCAAACCGTTTGGGGCGATTTCGTGGTGGAGACTGAATCTTTCAAATCTTTCGAATCATTTGCCGAAGATACCTTTTTTGCCAGCTCTCTCGTTAAAGTCGTCAAGCTAGATTTGGATGATATGACGAAGTTCCAAAACAATAGCTCGCTTCGCATTTGAGCTATTTAAGCTCTTTAATTAGTATTGAAATCAAGCGGCGAATTTTATTTTTGCAAACAGATACCACTTAAGACTGATTTGGCAATTTCAAGGTAAAGACATCTCTCCACGAACAATACATACTACAAGTCACTTTATAAATAGGGAAGAGTCGGCGCTAAAAGTTTTCGAGAGAAAGGTTTGCGTATGGTTTATGCTATTGTATTTTGTGCAGTAGCAATGGCGAATGGTACGAAACTCCAGATCAACTGAATGACGAACATTGACATAGTTCGTTGAACGAAGTAAGAGACCGCGTCAACGCTTACATCGACCAGAAGTGCGAAATCCCCACATACAAGTAGGTACGAAAATATTCGACACAAAATCGGAAAATAAAGCAAAGAAATGATTGCACATTCGGTCAAATAGCGTCCGCGGTCCTAAGCGAATTTAGAAAGAAGAAGAAGAAGATATGCCTTATTTTTCGGAGATTGTTTTTACTACTTTTTTCTTTCGGATGAAAAAAATAATTAAAAAAAAATTACATTCTCTTGTCTTATATGAGTTTAATTTTCACAATCCCATTCTTTTATTTTCATGTGAAATGTCTGTTACCGTCCAACTTTACTTAAAGATCCCAAATATATCCCGAATGAATTACTAATGTCCTCGTTTGCACATTTCACACTGCGTCACGTCATTACAATTTGCTGAGCAAATAAAAAACAAAGCACGAGTTCGGCTTAATAACACATCTTCAATACAACACATGTACGCATATCTGTACTCGTACATTCAAACAAAGAGAAAAAAATTGTCTAAACCAAATGCATATCTTATTTTTCAGAACCAAAACCATTTCATTGGGTCAAGGTCAAGGTCCACGAGCCGAAAAACTGATTATGGAAGCAAATCGCTACGGTCATTGGGTCGTTTTGCAAAACTGTCACGTCGCCGTCAGCTGGATGGGCGAATTAGAGCGTATTTGCAATGACACCTCGTTGGCGGAATCCGCACATCCCGACTATAGGCTGTGGTGTACCTCATATCCGAGTAATGTATTCCCCGTATCGGTGTTACAGAATTCGGTGAAGATGACAAATGAACCGCCAAAAGGTCTTAAGGCGAACATGTTTAGGTCATTCAATTCGGATCCTTTAGTACGAGATAAATTCTTTACAAATGCCTTCTTATACTCGGATATGGCAAACAAATGTTGGCTACGTGGCGTCTTCGCTTTGGTCTTCTTTCATGCGGTGGTGCAGGAGCGACGTGAATTCGGGCCGCTCGGTTGGAATATACCGTATGAGTTTAGTGAGGCGGATTTGAAGTAAGTGTGTTGAAGAGAACAAGTAGAAGAAGAACAACAACAAAACAAAAGGTTAACAAGTGTAATCATAAGAAGGCAAAAAGGTAATACGGTGTAGTGTAGTGAAGTGAAGAAGGGGAAGGAAAGGCAAATAGTTAGCAGTTTGTCTTGCTGGAGTTAACCGCAGATTATTGTGTGGGCGGAAATGTCAAGCTTTCAACTGTGTGTATACTTGTGGGCGTTTCTCATTCAAATTCCAACATTTTCTAAAAATTGTCAGTGATGTGAATTCTCAAAAATGCGCAGCGAAACCAATTCTTCCGTTGTTTACAAGCTTATTTTTGTATATGTCAGTTTTAGCAGCAACGTTAATGTTGTTCTTCGCTTCTTTTGTGCTTTTTCTTTGCGCTTTTTTGGCTCTTTTTTGCCAATTTTCCTCGCCGCATTTGGACATTTTGCAACGTCAAGCGGTTCCCAACCACAAATCCTACACAGATATGGTTTTCTTTTCACTGCAACTTCATCGCGTTTGCCTCTTTGTTGCGCTTTTATCTACTTGCTGTTGTTCTACAATGAATAAATATATATATGTGTGTATATATTTTTTTCTTTTTTTTGTTTTTGAAACATTTCGCGTTTGTTATTTTTTCATTTTCAATTTCTTGACATTTTCACCACCAACAACAATAACAACAATAACAACAACATAATAGAATATCGCTGATGCAGCTGAAGATGTTCATCGCACAAAGCAAGAGTATACCATTCCGTGGACATGTCTATCTCACCGGCGAATGCAACTATGGTGGGCGTGTTACGGATGACAAGGATCGTCGCTTAATCCTTTCACTGCTCAACATGATATATAATCCAACCACAATCGAAATGGACAAGTAAGTGTACACAGAAGCTGTGAGTTCAATGCTGCATTTGAAGTTTTTAATAATAACACTGTTGCAAAGGAAACACAGAGAGTCAGAGAGAGAGAGAGAGAAAGAGAGGGTAGTGGTACAGGAGACGTGTGTAGGTGTGTAGGAATAGCGTAGAAAAGACAGTTGGGTAGCTAAAACTGCTTATCTTTCTCATATGTACAGTTTTTTCTGTTTATATATATTTTTCTCTGTCAATATTGAATTTTGCCAATTTCATAAAATGTCACGTGTATTTTCGATTTTAAATGCTGTGTTCGTGACAGTTTCAAAATGATATACATACATTTCACCTGTGTTTATCGAACTTTTAATAATATATTTGTACGAACTTACATTCCAATACAATATACAAGTATTTATGTATAAATAAAAGATTTATACCCAGTAAACAACGAAGTTAAATATTAAAAATCCAAAAACACTTCTCCGAACATATATAATTGGGTCATTGTAACCGCTGCAGCAATTTTCGGCCGAACATAAATAATAAATGTATCTGATTCTATTCAAAGATCTTGTCCAGAAATCTTTTAAACATCTCCATTTGAATCAATTAACTTAAAAAAATATTAGGCGCAAATCACATGTTTTCAGTACCCAAAATCTCTTTCCTCTCAAAAGCGGTCAAAGAGTCGAAGAGAGGTTAGAAATGTGCCTAATAAATTAGCTAGTTTTTATTTAGCTGTTGGTGAATGGGACACACAACGGTGAATCTTGCATTAACACGATCAACTTGACTCGAAAAGAAAGATGATACGATTGCTTCTTCTTCTATTAATGTAAAAGTTCAGGTCCACCGGGGCCTTCCCAGTCATCTTTTCTATTGTTTAAAAAGTAATATTGACGAACCGGATTCTCATTCGTTTAAAGAGGTCTGTCGGAGCGGGAGGGAAAGAACAATTTCTAATAAAAAAATGTTGAAATCAACTGGATATCCAGTTTTCTCTCTCAATAATTGCTGAATATTCACAGCCGACGTTTCTCTCAAATCCATCAACAGGTGTTTCCTATTATCTGACACTCCCACATGATAACTGGGTCTTGGAACATTTTCCCATTTGCATAAATATCACCGTGTAAAAAATACAAAAAATATTAATCACCAAAGAAGTATCCTTTGGTTTAGTTGGAAAACTAACATTTTTTTCTGATGGCTCTCTATGCGTTTCCTTAAAATTACACTTCAAATATTTTTATATCCACTTGTACCCGCACAAACACACACTTAAATTATACGCATTTCACGCATTTTTCTCTAATACTTATTTATTTATTTATTTGTTTTTTTATATATTTACCTTCGAATGCAGTTATCCCTTATCACTATCTGACACCTACCGCGTACCGCTAAATCCAACTCGTCTCAACTCACTCGAATATATTTCAACATTTCCACTAAGTCCACATCCGGAAGTTTTTGGTTTACACGAAAATGCCGATATCAATCGCAACAACAAGGAGACCAGCAGCGTAAGTACAAATACAGACAAACACACTTAAACAAACTTACCAGCAAATGGGAAGCTTTACAGAATGGCTGCATATTTGTTTTGAATCTCATCTCATTAAATTTAAATTTGTTTCCACTACACTTTATACTTGCAACTACCAAACTACAGCTGATTGGCGGTGTCTTACTTACCCAAACGGATTTAATGGCTTCGGTGAAGGCAAGTGGCGCCGCGGGTGGTGCCGGTGTTGATCCGGCTTTTGCCATATGCAAAGAAATCCTATCACGCCTACCGCAAGCTTTTAATGTGGCCGAGGTGGGTCAAAGGTATCCGGTGATATATACGAATTCCATGAATACGGTATTGCGACAAGAATTGATAAGGTAAATATGCTCAATCTGCATATTGATTGACGTGTATGTATTTATGTAAAAGAGCGAGTATCTTATATTGAAAATGAAATAATTGTTATTTTTATGTTACATGCTACTTATTTATTTTTTCTTTATTTAATTTAATTCTATTTTGTGATTTCAATTTCAATTTTTTATATTTTACTGATTTATTTTATTTTATTTTCTTTGATTTTATTTTATATTATTTTATTTTATTTTATTTTATTTTCTTTGATTTTATTTTATTATCTTTGATTTAATTTTATTTTATTTTCTTTGATTTTATTTTATTTTATTTTATTTTATTTTATTTTATTTTATTTTATTTTATTTTATTTTATTTTATTTTATTTTATTTTATTTTATTTTGCTTTAATTTTATTTCATTTCACTTTACTAGATTTAATTTTTTTCTTCATTTATTGTATTTATATTTATGTATATATTCATCTAAAGAAATACTTGCGTATATAGCAACACATGCAATAAATTTAGTCTGGTCGACGTATTAAAATTATTAAGCTTCTGCCTTTCATTAAATCGACAATGAAATTAGTTTTGTAGCATCAATAGATTTCTGGCAATTTTTTTTCATAAATTTTCTTTCATTTATATATAGGCGGCAATGTTGTGTGGTGAAGCATTTGTATTATAAAATTTATATATTATTATGTATATATACGTGTATATTGCTATTTTTACTCTCCTCTTCGCCACGCAGATTCAATCGCTTACTGTATTACATACGAAAAAGTCTCGCCAATGTACAAAAGGCCATACAAGGTCAAATCGCCATGATACCTGAATTGGAGCGTACACATTCGTCAATGGTGATTGGTAAATTGCCCGCCGACTGGTTGAAGAGGAGCTACCCATCACTGAAGCCGCTTGGCAGCTATGTTACGGATTTTCTTATGCGGTAAATTTGGTTTCATTTCTGCTTTAAGTTTTGTTTTTTCGCTGGCGAAGAATGTGTGTCTGATTAAACCATTTATAAAATTATTCATATTTTTTTTAAATTTTTTGTTATTTATTTCTTCCATAAATTAATTTTATTACTGAGGAAATAGTTTTTTGTGAATGTATGCGAACTGATTGTTAGGCAAATATTTTAAATTTAACACCATTTGTTGACTTTCTTAACACTCATTATTATCCAAATTTGTTTGAAAACCTCTTGAAGAATTGTTCTAATACTTGACAAGTCTAAATTAAGCATACAATTTATTATCTCTTGTTTAAGCGGGTTTCTAACTAATGGAGTAGGTTGTTGTCAGTTAGCGAACTGTTGAGATGTATTACGTATGAATTCGGCAATCGACCTCAGTTAGCTAAATGATGATTTTTGAATGCTTTGATCTCACTTGGCGGTTGACTGAACGTTTGCAATAAAGCTAAGCATTGTGTGTGTGTGTGTTGATTGACCGCTACCTTCAGATGCACAGCTTCCTGCCTTCCATGTCTGTACACCATCATCTCTAGTTACCATAATTAACTGCCCACCAACTGCTTAGTTAGCTACCTTTGTGTTCGTATACCAGTCAATCAGCTTTTAATTTTAGAACCAATTTATCTATAACCTCACTGAGAACTATGCAAAGTATGATTTTTTCATCAAAATTTTCTTTAATTATTTCTCAGAAAAGAACAACAATCTGATTTAATAACCAGTATAAAATGTTTTGCTATCTTTTTTTTTCTATTATCATTACTTAACGAATTTTCTTAATACATTTGCCTCTGTTTGTTTTGAAAATATTCTCCTGATTATTCGCAATAATGCGAAGTTATTTGCGCATTAAGCTGATTGGATAAAATTCATTCAAATATTTATTTGTGCTCTAACCCGTACATTGCAGACTTCAGTATGAAAGCGGGTAGAGAGCTATTTATTTGTGTTGGCAGCACGTAGATTCCTACGTATGAACGCCAGTACCTAAGCAAGTATATACCAGGCCCACGAATATGTTTAGAGAAAAGTAAATTAATTATTAAAAAAATTTATAAATTTAAAAAAATTAATTCATATTAAAATTATAAAATTCTAGAAATCAAATTAAAATGTTAAATAAAAGAAAATAATATCTAAAATAAAACTAATCACGTCAGCACTATTTTGGCATACACACACACTCAAAGACTGCCCCCTTCGCTGCTCCATTATTTGCGTTTATTGTTTTTTTTTTCAACAATACAATCTATCTTTCACAAGTGTAGCTTATACTTATGAACTAAGTATATTTTCTACAATATTCTCTCGAGCAAAGTAAATATTTTGTTTCGTAAGCACATTAAACGAAAAGAATGAAAGTATTTGTAAATAGTAGAAATAAGTGTTCTAAGCGGCTAAAGTGCACAATAGGAGCTTTGTGCGCAACTTGATGCAAGAAAGTGAAAGAAAGGAGTACAATCAATGTATTAAGTATGACAAAAACTATAATTTGTAAAAGAAAATAAAATAATATGAGAGAGGGTTTTAGTTGGGAAGAAATTTAAAGAAAATGTTTTGAAAAGTATTGGATGAGTGCATAAGTTCGTGCCCGATTTCAAGTGCTAACTAAAATTGAAATTTTTTGAAGAAAGCGCTTTTATTAATCAATTATGTATTCGCCATCATGTTCGGCAATCCACTCCCAACGTTCAACCAATTTACGGATGCCTGATTCATAGAAATCCCGCGGTTTCTCGTTGAAAAAAGTGTCAAGGGGGTTTTTGACGTCTTCCACATTTTTAAATTTTTTTCCATTCAAATTGTTCAACAGCGATCGAAACAAATGATAATCAGAAGGTGCAATGTCGGGTGAATATGAGGGATGCGGCATAATTTCCCCATTCATCTCCTTCAGTTTGGCCAGGGTCGGTTTTGCAACATGTGGCCTGGCGTTGTCATGATGGAAAAGAACTCCTTTGCGATTGGACAAAATCGGACGTTTTTCATCAATTGCTTTCTTCAATTCGACCAATTGCTGACAATACTTGTTGGCAGTGATCGTTTCTCCAGCTGGCAAGAGCTCAAAATAGATCACGCCTCGGATATCCCACCCCTTCGTGTGTCTGTTTCCATGTTCTTTGGCGTTGAACATTGTTGTACCGAGCTTCAAAGTGTACCCAACCTTTTTTAAACGACGAAACGCAGTTGATTTGTTGACGTTCAATTCATTGGCAACCTCTTCCGTCGAAATTCGTGAGTTATTCGCAACTAAAGTCCTTAGAACATCGTCATCAAGCTCAGAAGGCCGTCCACTGCGAGGTTGATCTTCGAGGTTAAAATCTCCAGAACGAAATTTCGCGAATCATTTCTTTACTACGCGGAATGCTGGAGCACGGTCCAAATAAACTTCGCGAAAATCTTTAGTTGCAGCGCCTACTGTTTTTCCTTTGCGGAATTCGTATAACATAATATGACGCATATGATCTTTTTCGTTGTCCATCTTCAATGCGTCTTTTCACTAAGCAACTCAAATCAAAATGAAGTTATTTTATGCTTGATTTACAGTTCGGACTGTCACCTTTCCAACGATATATATATAATAAGTATATATTTCTTCCACGAGCGCCACTCTCAAACGATTCGAACGACATCCAGCGGAATCGGGCACGAACTTATGCACTCATCCAATATTTTCAATAAAAATACATATATTTTCCTTTTATTTTGTGTAATTTTTCCAATTGCTCTTTATTTTGTTTGAAATGGTTCTTTTTTTTAATTTAAAGAAGTGCTTTACAAACTATTAGCAATTTTTTCTAATATATTTTCCATTCTCCTTCCTAGCTTGGAATTCTTTCAACGCTGGATTGATGAGGGTGAACCAAGCGTTTATTGGCTATCCGGCTTTTATTTCACACAATCATTCATTACTGGTGTACTACAAAATTACTCGCGTAAAAATACCCTTCAAATCGATATGGTTGAAATAAAATTTGAAGTTACAAAATTTGAGTCGGAAGTTGATAAGCTGCCCAGTTTTGGCGCATTTATAAGAGTGAGTTTGGCTTTTTGAAAATTTAAAATTTTATTTACTTTATTTTCGGTGGATACACATTACAACAGTGGATTTGCATATCACACTATTTTACTATTAGGGAATTTAGTAAAATTGATACAATAAATTATTGATAATTTTTATGATACATGCATACACATACACACACTCAACTGCATACAGGAGCAACTGGATATTAATGATGAAACAAAGTTCTTCAATGTAAGATACAGAAAATTACCCTTTTTAATTGAAAATATTTAATTTATTTTTGGTTTAATTTGTTTTAGAAAATAATTAAAAATAATCAACAATTTAACGCTTTATTTCATATAATACTTTTTATAATAAGTGATTTAATAAACGTTAATTTTTTTTTAAATACGACCTTTTATTGCAACAAAAACTATATTTTTTTTTTACTAATTTTAAACATATTTTTATCTTCTCATCATCTTCTGAACAGGGACTCTTCATCGAAGGCGCACGTTTTAATCGTGAAACACAAGAATTGGAGGAGTCCTACTCGAAGATATTATTCGATACATTGCCGGTAATGTATTTCCGTCCCACCTTGAAACAAACGCAGGATGATGGTCATGGCGGTAAAGAGGAGGCCACCAAAGGACGCACCATTTACGATTGTCCCGTCTATAAGACCAGCGAACGGCGTGGCATACTCTCAACAACCGGTCATTCCACCAATTTTGTGATGTACATGCAACTAAATTGTAGTAAGACACCAATGCATTGGATCAATCGTGGCACAGCCTCACTTTGCCAATTGGATGACTGAGCAGAATTTTCAACAGATTATATTATATTTTTCATTTTTAAAAGAAATTTAAATGTATTTTATATTGGCTTTTCAAAGCGAAAACTTTAACTTCGCTCGGATTTTGTGTTTATTTTTATAATAAAAATTAAAAAAAAAATTATTCTCATATATACATATATTATATATTATTAATAAAAACGAAAAGCAAACGAAATCCTATAAATCAAATTTAATTTTTCTTCATTAACTTTTGAGTTTAAAAAGCTCAACAACATCAGCAAATGTGCTTTGCTGATGATGGCGAATCGAATTGCCTAATTTTAACACATTAGAAAAAATTTAAAATTAATTATGTGTGAAAATTTGTTACTTCCAATAACAGTGTTAATCTTTGTGAAGATAAATGTTTAAATTATATTTAAATTTTTCTGATCGTTGGTCGCTGTCAGTCAGCAGCTCAGTAATGAGCTCTTTGCCTGACGGCTATTTTGCTAATTCGTTTACTTTAGCACGATATATATATATATATATATATATATATATGTATATTTTTATATATATCTATAAACAATAAATTCATTAAGGCTGGTATTGTTGTAGTTAAAGATAATGATATGGGTACGTATTATGCAAAAGGCGTAGGTTCAAACACAAAAAGAAGTTTTTGAAAATCAATAAAATTACACAATAATTTTATAGAAAGATTTTTTCTACAAAACTTTCTCGCTAGAGGCCCCGAAAGTTGGTTTGTTCTAACAATCAATTCGCTAGATGGCACCAGATGGGATCTTAATTGTCATGAAATCACAACCATAGTATTTTTATGGACTTTACGTAAAAACTGCTTAGCAGCCCAAGGCAACAAATCTATGTACAGATTTACCAGCAGCAGAGACCCTGATTCTTAACATAGAGAAATGCGAAAAGGTGCGAATGGTTGAAGTGATGGTGGATGGGGGTATGTGTTTATGTCCTCTCCCCATGGAGGAGGCTCACACCAGCGCCTTCAAAGAAGTGCTACCAAAAATGTGGGTTTTTGTGAGTTCTGGTACAGAGGCCACATCAAGGGGTACTAACTTCTACTATCGTTCACCTCAATGGACGAACGTGTTACTACAAACCATATTAATATCGAGATTCTACATCATATCGGTGACTTGCGCCCACATTGCGCATGTCATGAATGCACCTATAAGCCTGGCCACGATATTTCCAGCATGGTATTTTACAGGGGCCGGAAATAAATTCTCCTGTGTTACCAGATTTCGAAATTAGGTACATTGCCGCGTTCGGTGTTCTAGACTTGAATATGTTCCAAAGTCTTAACGTTACGCGCGCCACTAACTTTCGCAGAGTAAAGAAGCTAAAAACGCTTTTCAACAAACACAATCAAGTCAAATAGTTATCTGCCCGACTTGCTCTCCAGCTTTCTGAGAACACTCATCAAAAACTCACTAAATGGAGCTAAGTTGGGATAACTATTCGTAGCGATCATGTCGAAAGAAGACATAAGACGCTGATGCACATATCATAGCAGTACAACGATAGACCGCAACGTCTGCGTGTGCGAGAGATATCAAGAGTTGTAGCAGGAAGCGAAAAAAGTATGCAGACAAAATAACAGAGAAGGCAAAATTCCTGATCAGGAAAGTCTTCGGAATTCGGTCTTACCCCTATCATTGCTTGAAAATTCTATGAGGAGATGTAGTTTCAAGATCGAAATATAGAAAGTGAAGAGGTGATTTGTTGACTAGAATTTACAGAGAATATAAAAGATTAATTTTTCAAGTCTGCCGAATTTTGCGGCGAAAGTTAAACCTCTGGAAAAGCAAAACGTCTAATGAGGCCTCTGTGTATAAATGTGAAAAGTAATTGCTAGTACGAATATCACCAATGCAGCGGGAGCCAATGGTCTACCGACTGAGCTGTTCACATACGCCAACAAAAAAACATGCATCAGCTTCTCTGCGGAATACGTTGAGGAGAAAGCGTGCATCTGCTCAATGCATAAGAAGGAGGACACTCCACTGACTGCTCTGATTATCATGGAACAGCAAGTAGAGAAGATATATTTAGGCAACTACAAGTGAATTCTATGCATCCGCAAAACTTAGACGATTTTGTAATCTAACGCTGAGCACTAGCAAAAGCTTCATCGGAATTGAAAAAAAAAACCTAACAAATGATTGCTACTTAATGACCTTTCAGACAGACAGGCAGGTAAACTCTTTATCGTGAGACGTCTTCAACAATTAGTTGTAGAGCTAAACACTTTTAATGAGTTTTTAAAGGCGCCTGGCCAAAACGACGAATTTATAAATGAAAAATTTTTTTTAATATTTTTTTTTGTTTTTTTAATTTTATAAAAATTAAATATAAATTATAAATATTCAAAATATCCTGTATATATTGTACATACCTACATATGCATGTACGTCAGCGCACTCCATTGAGCTAGCTGCAAAAACCCGCTCTTAATTCCAAATGATTATTGGATAAACGAGCTCATTAGAAGGTTTGCGAAATACCACCGAGAAATCCCAATTGGCGTAATTTGGATAACTATTCGCAGAAGTACAAAAATATGTATGTACATGAATACCTACGAGCATAAATTGCTATTAATTGTTCTAATGAGCTCTTCAGCGAGATGGACTTTGTGAACTTCCGGAAGCAATGACTGATGCCAAAAAATGCCCAAACTTTGTTGTAGACACACCGAAAACTTCATAACGAGTTATTGAATTTCATAAAAATATATGAACTCTCGTACGTACATACATCTGAAAAGGCTTTATAAAGGGTGTTTTTTTAGAAAATGTGGTTTTAAAGGAGATAGAAAAATATATATTTCCATGTCATGACCAAGAGTTTGGTATTACGTTTTAATAATGATATCAGGCACGTGACGCCGCAGCTGGCTCGATGAACCTAACCCAGAGGCACAATTCTCGACAACTCTTTGAAGCGATTGGAGCCGTACGAGTATATCAGCTATAACAATCTGAATATTATTTTCCAAGTCGCCTCGGGCTTATCTGCGTAGACAAGCGACTTCCCCTAACCCACAACAAATAGTCCACCGGTGTTAAACTGCACGATATTGGAGACCACAGCACGCGGTAGACGTGTGGTTAGTAATGCGTACGGAAGCCTCAAGTTCAAATCCTGGTGTCCTACCAACATCCAAAAGGCAATAAGAGGAAATTATTATAAATAAAAAAATTCAGCTAAATTTTCCAGTTGCGGTCGCCCCTCGGCAGGAAATGTTAACCCATCCGAGTGTTTTTCTGACAGGAAATAAAAACTCCTCATAAAAAAATCATTAACCGTTCACAGGCGGCTTAGTATAAACCGTTTGTTGAAAAAATATCAATTCGCAAAACCACACGAGGGAGGAGGAGTTTGGCGCTTAAGCACTTACAGAGCGCCAATTATAATCAACCAAAAGTGAGCTGAACGAAATTTTTTTATGAAAATCGTGATCGATGCCATCTCGTTTTGGGCAGATTTACTTTACAAGCGACGTGATTTAAGGTCCTTCGTATTCAATTCTTGCACGAGTTGAATTTTGTAAGCTAACAAACCAGGATCCTTCCGAAAAATCTTCCATAAAGTGTATTCGCACAGCTCGAATTGTTGCGTTTGATGTCAGATGTGCTCATTTGTGTCTTCTTCGATACTCTGCTCCACAGCAGCAATAGCATCGTCCTCTTTACGCACCATACGTCATCACTGAGGATGCGCATTATCCACTAGAGCAAGCGCGGTGCGAAACCGATTCATGCTTGTTGTGAATTTCATACTCTGTAGAAGCGGAGCGCGACGAGGTGCCTTAGTATTTTTTTGAGTAATAGATTTTCACGAATTGCAAATTTTATTCTGGGGTGATTCTGTTCATTATGAAAAGGCAAGCCAAAGTGAGAATAAGTCAAGTAACAGCTTTGAAACAGACCAATCCCGAAAAAGATAAAAAAACACCCTTTACAATGCACAGTGGTATGTATGTGTGTGCTCAAAAATCAGTGTTGACGTCACAAACACTAACTGAGGACAACTGACTGATCAACCGCACAGCAGCAAGAATAAATGGATTGCTTGTGTGTGGTGTGTGTATGCGCGTAGCGGTGAAGTTGTCTACGCCGCGGCGCCAAGCGCTTAAGTTTGAATATTTCTTTATATTTTATTCTTTTTTTGTAACATTGTACACTCAATTGTTAAAGCATTTATAGCTGAATTTACCGATTTTAGGTTTTATATTTATATACATGAATAAACGGAATTTTTATAAATTTTTTGTTATGATTTTCGCAAAATACATAAAAATAAACAAAAGATATTAAAATTAACTCAAAATCCGTTTTCAATGCATAGTGTCCGTCAATGGGCATAAATGAGGGAAAGACGAGGGGAAAAAGCCATAAAAAAATACAAATGTATCATAATGAAAACAGAAAGGCACCAAATAAAATACGCAAAAATTTGAAGAACGCCACTTGAAGACAATTGAAATAATGTTCGTTTTGAACTTGAAACCAAGCGATGTGAAGCATCCAAAACGAATCGACGAATGAGCTGAACACGTTTTCCGCGCTAAGCAGGCTTCAATGCGAAAATGGCATATGTATCAAATCAATAAGTGTACAAAATCCACAAAACAAACAAACAAAAATAGAAAAAATATCAGAAATTTGGCTGATCATTCGTCTGCGCAGTGCCACCAGCAAGTGGCTTGTTAAACACCGCTAAACCGCACTATTTGTTTACTTTCGATTTTCGCTTCTCGCCTCAATTGCCAAGTGGGCGCTCTGCGCTGGTGGTAACACCGTAATTAAACAGCAAATTAGCTACAACAACAAGTGTATGCAAAAACAATGTTGCTGTTTCTTTGTGAATCTGAAGACTCACTTCCACGCAGATTTTGTTGATAGCTGATATATGTATGTACATACATATGTAAGTGAACACAGATGTTTGTTAGTATGTATATATTATATGTTTAAACAGATATATGAGTAAGTAATTGCGCGTGCGTACAATCATATATGTATATTAAGTACATATGTACGTGGTGCGGCATTTACTGCAATACGCAATTATTTTTTTGCTTATTTTGCGGTAATTAAATTTAAATTTACACAAATTATTTTTCGGGTATAAATATCATGTGCTTTTTGCAATTAAATCATAACACATTCTTACCTTCAATCACTAAGCATCGCTAAACAGCAATAATGGTAAGGAAGAAATCACGCAATACATACAAGCGCACACACAGGCCTAGCATTGTCAAAGGATAGACACTGATGGGCCCACACAAATTCGTCACACAGCATAATAAATAAAATAACATTAACAAAAAAACACCCTTTCCCTCCACAGAGATTCCTACCGATTGCATTTGCTGTGATTGCAGTAGTCCGAGCGGCTTCTCTGCCGGCTGACTATCTGCCGCCTGTTGTGGATAACAGTTTGCCTGTACAGGAATATATAGCACCAGCTGCTGAATCATCACAAGATCAAACCATACTCACTGATGATGGTTACCGTTACAAGGCTGTACATCGTCTGAAATTTCGCCATCGACGTGATGTCAACGAGCTTCCGGAAAATGAATATCTACCTCCAGCTGAGGAGGTACAAGAGAGCGCCGTAGTAGAGGTCACTGAACCTGCCGCCGAAGTAGAAACTGAATTGGCCGATGATGGTTACCGTTATAAGACTGTCCGCCGATTGAAATACCGCAAGCGTCGTGATGTTAACGAGCTCCCTCAAAACGAATATCTCCCACCCACAGAGGAAGCCCATGAAAGTGCCCTTGCTGAAGTTGTTGAAGAGGCTGCTGAACCCACTGAATCTGCTGCTGAGGAAGGTACCGAAGTGGGTGCTGATGGTTACCGTTACAAGACAGTTCGTCGTCTGAAATACCGCAAGCGTCGTGATGTTAATGAGCTCCCTCAAAACGAATATCTCCCACCTGCCGAGGATGCTCAAGAGACGGTTATACCGGAAGTTCAAGTAAATGCCGTCGAAGAAGTTGCGGAGCCTGCTGAGCCTGCTGCCGAGGAAGGCACCGAATTAGCAGCTGATGGTTACCGTTACAAGACAGTTCGTCGTCTGAAATACCGCAAGCGTCGTGATGTTAACGAACTCCCACAAAATGAATATCTCCCACCCACCGAGGAAGCCCAAGAAAGTGTCGTTGCTGACGTTGTTGAAAAGACCGCTGAGCCCACTGAATCTGCTGCCGAGGAAGGTACCGAAGTGGGTGCTGATGGCTACCGTTACAAGACAGTTCGCCGTCTGAAATACCGCAAGCGTCGTGATGTTAACGAACTCCCACAAAATGAATATCTCCCACCCACCGAGGAAGCCCAAGAAAGCGTCGTTGCTGAAGTTGTTGAAGAGGCCGCTGAACCCACTGAATCAGCTGCTGAGGAAGGTACCGAATTAGCAGCTGATGGTTACCGTTACAAGACAGTTCGTCGTCTGAAATACCGCAAGCGTCGTGATGTTAACGAACTCCCACAAAATGAATATCTCCCACCTGCCGAGGATGCCCAAGAAAGCGTCGTTGCTGAAGTTGTTGAAGAGGCCGCTGAACCCACTGAATCTGCTGCTGAAGAAGGTACCGAATTAGCAGCTGATGGTTACCGTTACAAGACAGTTCGTCGTCTGAAATACCGCAAGCGTCGTGATGTTAACGAACTCCCACAAAACGAGTATCTCCCACCCACAGAGGAAGCCCAAGAAAGTGCCATTGCTGACGTTGTTGAAGAGACCGCTGAGCCCACTGAATCTGCTGCCGAGGAAGGTACAGAATTGGCTGCTGATGGTTACCGTTACAAGACAGTTCGTCGTCTGAAATATCGCAAGCGTCGTGATGTTAACGAACTCCCACAAAATGAATATCTCCCACCCGCCGAGGGAGCTACTCAGGAATCAGCTATTACTGAGGTTACTGAACCCACTGAGTCTGCTGCTGAGGAAGGTACAGAATTGGCTAATGATGGTTACCGATACAAAGTGGTGCGTCGTTTAAAATATCGTCATCGTCGTGATGTGAATGAGCTGCCAGCTAATGAGTATTTGCCACCCACTGAGGAAGGTCAAGAAGTCACAGAGCAACAACCCCAAGAAGAAACAGCTGTGCTTGCTGATGATGGATATCGGTACAAAAGTGTGCGTCGTTTAAAGTATCGTCGTCATTAGATAACTAAATTGCATCTCAACACACACACACACACGCACATATATATATCATTTATAGGAAAAAGCTATTATTCATGTACATACATAACACACATACATATAGGCAAAGGTTATTCACATAAGATATGAAGGAAAGAATGTAGAAAACAGAAAAAACAAAAACAAAAACAAAAAAATTAAGAATAATTGAATAAAAATTCGCAGCGAAAAATATTTTAAAACAACAAACGAGAACTCACTCATTGTCTGGTGTTGGTATGGTGAGTTGAGTTATCAAATTAGAAGGTGAGCATACCGTTATGCACCTTATCTTATCTCTTCCATTTACGATATTCCCTGGAACGCTTATCTCGACTCAGCGCTGATGAGCAGTTTTTCCAAAATTTGGTGCTTTTGGCTCAGTTTAACGAAGACCGTCAAAGGAAATTTACTTAATCTTACGAACGACTCGTGCTTTCAGTGCAACGAAGAAATTTATTTAATTTTTTTTTCATAATTAAATAAAGTATAAATTAAAAAAATGCGTTTGGTGAACAAGAGTACAACATATTTCGTGATCTTTTTGGGTAAAATACATTTTGAAAATTTTGAATTAATATTAGAAAGCAAAATAAGTATATAAATATGAAATTAGATATTTTCTTACATACACATATATACATATATATGGCCTAGATTGTGGATGATATATGCATATACATACATACATACGTACTCGAGTGCATGAAGTCCATTTGTATTACAAAATATTTTGAGATTTATAATATGTACACTTGTATGTAAGCATGGTTTTTGAGCTTCGAATCACCACACCTGCTTGTTAAAAAAGTGAAACTCTACAAGAACCGTTGCGTGAATGCGCTTATCAGTGTTGCTTTTATTTACAAAAGATAAAAAAGTGACTCACAACAAAAAAGTGTTTTGCAACTAAATGAATGTGATTGTTAGTCACTTATCTAATTCAGTGAAATGTATGTGGCTTTACAAGTTTATCAGAAATGATAAAATATTTAGAAAACAGAACGCATGACGTCATCAATATCTTAAACTAACGATATGAGTTTTATTGGCATAGAACATAAAGAATTATTTTCAAATTAAAATATTTGTTTAAATATTGGTCTAATAAAAGGAAATGCTTTATTTTTTGCCATTTTGACGGTAATGTCATTATGCATCTTCCATAGAAACCTTTATCGATATTGGCGAAAAATTAAGGCAATCAATTTTCATAAGCTTTCCTTTAGGTCAATTTAGGTCAATCAGCCAAATCATTCCCCATATAAGAAAACAGATAGCAATCACTTAGTGCGACTTTCTTACCATAAGTTGCATACCTAAAAACCTGCCAATCAATCTCTCAGTGCTTATGGCAAGTCACAACCGATGAGTGTAGTCGGGCGTTGACCTAATGAAACACAATTACCCTTCTGTTAGCTAAAGCTGGGCACTGCTGGGCGATTTCTTCCTTCAGACGGTCCAATTGCTGACAGCACAGATCCGAGTTAAAAATTTGGCCGTAAGGTAGCAGCTCATAGGGTATTATTACTTGTATATCCCACCATACACACAACAAAATCTTCCTGGCCACTTCAACGCTTGTGATATGCATCTTAAACGCAATGAATATGATCCGTTTTTGAAGAAAATCATAACTAGAAATGAAATATGGGTTTTTTACTATAACCTCGATCGAAAAAGGTCATGGTAAAGGCATGACGAACCGCCACAAACCACTTCAAAGGTTGATATTCACGAAAAGAAGATTAAGCTGTCAATTTGGTGGAATTTGGAAGGGTGCGGTACAACATATTTTGAGCTGCTTCCAAGAAACCAAACGATTTATTCGAACATCTACTGGGAACAACTGGACAAGTTTAATACATCCAACAACGAGTAGCGGCCAGACTTACTCAATTATAAGGGTGTCATATTCCAACAGAACAATGCTAGACCGCACACATCTTTAGTCACTTCCAAAAACTGAGAGAGCTTGTCTGGGAACTGTTGATACATCCACCATATAAGTTTTTGAAGTGAAGAATATTTTATACGATGAGCTGCGCTGTTTTAATATCTCAATATTTAGAGGCTCGGCATTGACATTTCTATGAGTCATTTTTTGGATCAGACTATCAATTATTAAAGTCACCCAAACCGGAATTACTCTTGCCCGGGTTTCACTCACTAAGAGCCAAGCCGACAATGGATACCGAAAATAAAATTTTTACATGAATATACATATTATATAATATCTTTTGGGAGGAAACTTGTAATGCCATACGTTGAAACAACATTGCTTCTATGCAACTTGAATATTTATCAAAAATTATTGAACATACTTCATTTTGAAAATATTCCAAAATATGCATACACATGGATATCAATATTCAATAAATATTCGTCACTCAGAAACATGAAAAATATCTTGGTGGAGTATCAGAAAAAAATTAAATAAATTCCCTACACGCCCAACGTAGAAATAAACAAAGTTTTAACTATTTAGAATGCAACTGGTTTGCATTTTTGCATTAACTGATTCATCTTCCATCTATGTCCAAATAACTTTTAAAACGACGATGTATTTCGAACTGACAATTTTCCTACTATTCATCAGCTTCATACTAGTTTAATACTAGTTCATTTACTCACTTACTTACTTTACTGCCGCAGACACCGCTTACGCGATTTTGACCGATTTAACAACATTTCGCCATTCTTTTCTTCTTTTTCCTGTTTGGCGCCAATTGGAAATACCAAGTACAGCAAGGTCCTTCTTTACCTGGTCTTTCCAACGGAGTGGAAGTTTTCCCCTTCCTCTGCTTCCACCGGTGGGTATTGCATCGAAAATTTTTAAAGCTGGAGTATTCGCATCCATCCAAACCAATGACCTAGCCAGCGGAGCTGCTGCTTCTTGATACGTTACATCGTCTGCGGTATTCACCGTTGGCAATGCGCAAAGGACCATAAATCTTACGCAAAGCTTTTCTCTCGGAAACTCCTAACGCCGACTCATCAGATATTGTCATCGTCCATGCTTCCGCACCATATAGCAGGCCGGAACGATGAGGGACTTGTAGAGTTTGCTTTTCGTTCGCCGAGAGAGGACGTTACTTTTCAATTGCCTACTCAATCCAAAGTAGCACCTGTTGGCAAGAGTGATTCTGTGTTGGATTTGAAGGCTGACATTATTGTTGGTGTTGATGCTGGTTCCTAGATAGGCGAAATTATCTACGACTTCAAAGTTATGACTGTCAACAGTGACGTGGGAGCCAAGTCGCGAATGCGATGACTGTTTATCTGATGACAGGAGATATTTCGTCTTGTCCTCGTTCACAACCAGACCCATTCTAGACCCGGTAGATGTCACTTTTGAAGTTGTAAGTTTTTGACTTTTGACAAAGAAAACTACGCCAGTAATAAAAATGAAACGATCGACGCTGTAAAAACGCATTGAAATTATCAAACTTCACGATAAATATGGTGAAACCTGGAAGAGAAAGTTCGCAAAATCAAAAATTTTCCGCCTTAGTGAGGCGCCTAGTTGGAGTGCAATAGAGAAATTGATAGAAAAAATGGAGCCGTTCGGAGGCGGTTTAGTCCCTCCATTTCTTGGAAAAATATTGAGATGCAAAACCAAAAATTTAAAGATGAGCTTGGCTGAGAATCGTTTCAGAGCTTATATGGCTCCAACTATATATAAAAATTCTTTAAATTAATTGCGCTGGAAATATTTATTACTTCCGTTACCAGCGAACTACTACTCACTACTATCATCATCGTCATATAGTCTACTTCTCCCTGCAGGGCATAGCGCTGCATTTCCCCATGTTGCATGTATATATATACATACATATGCATGTATGTAGGTAGAGCATAAAACCATTGTTAGATTTCCATATATTACAAACATTTATTTCGAACTCAAAGGATTCTAAGAACAAAAATATAAAGCGCATACAGAGACAAGTGTCCAAATAAACAAGCTGGAAAGGACACATACATGCTAAATTACATGCATGTATATGTATGTACGCTTAAACTAATGTGAGTAGGCTTAAAGTGTTAGAGATAGCGATTGAAATAACAACTATAACAATAACAATAGCAACAAAAACAGTAAAAAAGAATGCAAAATCAGCAGAAAAAAGTATAGTTTCCACATAAATTAAATCGAAACAGCACCCGCACTTGCACACGCTCGAGTAGAATTACAAAATAGTATAACTATGACTATGACATGCACACCTTCACACATACACCTGCATTGCATGGCCGCCTGCATGGTGTGCAAAAATAAAAATTAAATCCCAATAGTGGCGCTGCTCCCCAATGAACGCTGTTGCATCTCGTCCATCCCCTACACCTTATTCTCCTCTTATTCCTTCCCCTTCACCGTTACGCTTCTTCTTTTTGTTGGGCGTTGGCCAACACCGGAGGTTAGCCAATTTTTATGGGGAAGACAATGCATATTCACCTGGACCATTTGTGTTGGTCAACCACAACAACAACAACAACAAGAACAAAAACAAGAACAACAACAAGAACAACAACGACACCACATTGCCACCATATGCTTTTCCATTGACCGTTATGTCGACATTGTTGTTATTGTATATTGTACATTGTACATTGTATTTTGCTGTTTATACATGTAGGTGTATGTAACTGCAGTACGTTCGCTGGGAACGGATGCTGGAGGTGCAGCGGAAGCGTACGACGTTGATAGTGACACTGATGATGATGAACTGTTTTTTTGGCATTTTATTGCACTTTTTGTTAGTTGGAAAAAATACGTTTTTATTTATCGAGTTCCGCTACGTTCTCCCCCGGTCTTATTCTTTTGTGTTTACATATTATATGTGAGTGTGTGGCTGTGTACTGTTTTGTAGCGTTCGCATTTGATCCTTTTTCTCGCTTTCACCTTTTTGTTTTCCCGTATTGCGTAAGTAATGGATTTTTATGCAGATTTTTCCGGTGTGCTTCATCGACATTAATGCACCGTTGGAATATGCTAGTGTATATATAATTTACATAACTGAAAATATGTGTATTTATTTTACAAAATGGTTGCTTTGCAACATTTATGTGTGTGTGTGGGTGTGTGTTCACATGGTCTCAATCAAAATCCGGAAACTGTAAGCAACGACAGGCGGTAATGAAGTACCAGAATTTATGACACTCGGATTAGGCTACTGGAATAGAACACAATTTATAATTCTATCTTTCCTCGTGCGCCTGCAGGCTTTCATTGGATCATATGATGCATTAGAGTAATTCATTAGCTACTCCTCTATAGTGTACTATTGGAATCAGCTAACGTATTATGTTATTTTTGTTGTTGTTGTTGTTGTTGTTGATATTGTTGATATTTTTATTATTGTTACTATTAATATTATTACATTCATTGTTGTTGTTGTTGTTGTTGTTGTTGTTGTTGTTGTTGTTATTATTATTGATGATGATGATGATGTTGTTGTTGTTGTTGTTGTTGTTGTTGTTGTTGTTGTTGTAGTTGTTGTTGTTGTTGTTGTAGAAGTAGTAGTAGTAGTAGTAGTAGTAGTAGTAGTAGTAGTAGTAGTAGTAGTAGTAGTAGTAGTAGTAGTAGTTGTTGTTGTTGTTGTTGTTGTTGTTGTTGTTAAAATATGTGTAAGACATTGATGTCATCAAATGGTAGGTCCAGGAAACGTGCTGTTTCAACGGACTTGAACCAAAGTCGAAGGTTGCTTAGATGAGTTGGTTTTATGGAGCATACAAAGAGGTGGTTAGTCTTGTGCGGGACTCACTTCATGCAGAACATACGTTGGATATGTCGGGAGCAAGTTTGAATAGGTAGGGTTTTAAACAACTACAATAGCCAAATGTTAATTGTGCCAGTATTACCTGGGATTCTTGTGGCAGCTCAAACTCTTCCTTTACAACGGTTGGTGGTTGGACTCCGAAAACTTCATTCACTGGAATAGTGTGACGGAAGGCTCTCGGTGAATGGCATTTAATGCCTATCTATAAGCCGAACTATCCTACGGTTCTTGTATGTGGTACTCAGTGCAGTGCTTAAATTTGAGTACCACCTTCCTGAAGCGTCCAGATGGTAGTTCGGCATCTAGTAAGTATCTGTTGGTGTACTCCCTATGGTAGCACTAAAAAGTATGTTAGAATGCGATTTCTCATATATCCTCCGTAAAACCCTTCACCACCATATATAATACAACCCGTTGTGCTGAGGGGAGGTTTTTCAAAATACTACGCTTGGTCACAGCGGCGTGCGGTCTGTAGGATTTTGATACGTATACAGTGTTTCTTAAGAAACCTCGCGATTACTGAGATGAAAACTTCTCAAAAAATCCTGTCGGCCGTTCGGAGGCGGATTAAAATAAACTGTAGGTCCCTCCACTTGTTAAAAAAGCATTATAACGCACATCAAAAGTGGAGGAGGATCAGCGATCACAAAGCGACAATCACCCGTATATATAGTGCACGTGTCTAGAGTATGAATTATAAGAGTTTGGTCGCAGGTAGCGTAAAATTCATAGACGTCGTTGTGACGATGATAAAATAACCATGTCAGCTTCTGATGCTGTGTTGAAGACAATTAAAAACAAAAAAACAAGTGTGAATTAAATAAGTCAAAAAGATAGTGATCAAAGCAACGGAGAAGGGGATAAGAAATAGTAAAAAATATGTCACGCAGTGTTTTTTGCTAACTGCATTTAGTAGAAAACTATATGTCTATTTTCAGTTAAGAAACATGGTGTATATTCAAATTGGGAAACAGACTGTTAAAACTGTTGAACGTGCTGGCTCCGGCACGCTCGAGGTTCTGTTTTTACCTAAAAATTACGAACAATTGATAATAACTGAGGTAGCTGCAATAGCCGAATGGTTAACATTGCGTAATGCCACTCAGAGAGCCAGAGTGTGAGTCCTTCTCCGAAAAAGACAAAATTAATTTAAATAAAAAATTTTAAGTTAATTCTGTTATTACGCTCACTCCTTGGCAGGGAATGTTTAGCCCGGCGAGTGAAGCTCTGACATAAAGCAGGGGCTCTCACAAAAAACCACCAAATGTTCGAAGGTGGCATAGAACAAACTGTAGCTCCCTAGATTTGTTGGAATAACAGCAAGACGCTTATCACAAATTGTGGAAGAAGCACGACCAAAATACACTTCAGCGGATTCAAGGCGCCAAATATATATTATATATATATATATATATATATATATTTTTTTTAATAACTTTATTGTAAAATAGTTTTGAAAAATAACACCAAATCTTTGAATTATAATTAAAATTAATTATCTTTCAGTTCTGCTCGCTTGCTGCACACAGGAATCGGAAGCTACCAGACGTGTTTTGCGCGGACGTAGAACCCTTACACGCCGCTACTTCAGTAAGTTTCAAAAACTATGAGACATAAATTTCAGCGAAATTTCTCAAAAAAAAAATAAAATAAAATGACCAGCACATTGAACGTATGCCCGGCAAAAATAAGAATGAAGGATGTGTTTATATTTTTTCTTTTTTTTATTTTAATTATTTAAAATAAATAATTTGCTTTCTTGCTCCTTTCAGCTGGTCTCGCCATTCCTGGCTGGTTATTAGCCGTCCTCATTGGGATTGGTGAACTTATACTCGCTGGCGCACTTTATTTAATTTTAAATCGTTTGATACTTGCCAAAACTGTACAGGAGACGAACACTTATACGCCAGCAAAACAACAAGAAGTTTAACTTAACGGCCATCGAATCTAGAAATAAACATAAATACTTTTTAAATCATTTAAAAAAAAACTACCAATTAACGTACATATATTATATACATAAGATTTATGCCAGACGAAATCACCGAGAACAAAGCTGACTTAAAAAAAATATCCTGCAATTGAAAAATAGCTATCAACCAAAAATATAAAATATTTCACTCAAAATATGCTTAATTCAAATGATTTCAAAAATATGCAACACTGATAATAAAGATACTATAGATAATAATATACTGTACCAAATATATACATACATATGTACAAATTTATAGGAATTGTATAATTTTAAAACCTTTTTAATAAACGTTCTTCAAAGGTCAGAACCCATTTTATTTATTTAAAATATGTATAAAAAATTCTAGACAGACATTTTTTAATAAAATATATATAAAGGGTGATCCAACTAGAGCTACTTTTTTCAGTAAGCTTTTTTCGACAGATCACGCGTGAGTCGTGTCAAGCTGCCATGTTACTTATGTTAAGTACTGTTTGGAATTTCATCTTGGAAAGACTTATGCTTGAATAACATTCACAAATCGTTCAGCTCCATTATGAAAATTCATATACTATAAAGAATGTGTATCGCGCGCCTCGCTCAACTTATGGTCAAAATAATACTGGGCGTACTGTTCGCAACACCATCGTCCGTCCTGAGACACAGCACGCACAGAAGAAAATTTAGCGACCGTAGCTTAGAGTGTACATGAATACCATGGAGAGTCGATACGGCGCCGTTCGCAACAGCTCGCACTAACTCGTACTGACGGACTGACGTATGGAAGGACTTGGCACTTTTTACGTCGAGATCTCAAATTGAAAGCGTACAAAATACAGCTTGTGCAAGAACTGGAAATATGCGATTTTTCGAACCGAATTTTTTTCAGCAATTAGGCCCATTTCTGGCTCAATGGGTATGTATTGCCACATTTGAGACGAAGTACAACCTGAAGAGATTCAAGAGCTGCCATTTCATCCAGAAAAAAAACGGTTTAGTGTGGTTTGTGGGACGGTTAGAACGTAACTGTCATGATAATCGACTATTTGTTGCCTGAAATTGAAGCTCGTGATCTCAGCGACATCTAATTTTAACAAGCCGAAGCCGGCTTCCAAGACATGGCAACAAACAATGAATTTATTGAGAGAACACTTCCTTGAGCAGAGAGTTTTACGACTTGGGTCGGTCGATTGGCCCCTCAAATCTTGAGATATCACACCATTCGACTTTTCCCTGTGGGGATATCTAAAGTCTAAAGTCCATGCAGGCAATCATATTTCAATGAAGTTACCCTTAATAAAAAGCTTTAAGTTCGTTTGTATAGGCTCGTTCTTTTCAGTAAGCAGACTAGGAACTGTCTTATTGGAAAAAATCTGACTTATGGTTCGATTTACTTGAAATTCGGTGCACAGGTGTCATTTTTTCAGATTAACACACTAGTAAATTACACCTCTCTACTGAAAGTGGACCTGAGGCTGAGTTATTTAGATAGATCGTTTTTATGGCTCGCACAGTTTAAGCTTATTAAAAATTGAGCGTTACAAGATTAAACAACGTGTCTTCATTATTGAACATTATTTCAAAAATGGTGAAACCTTAGCGGCTGCAGTTCGAACCTACATACGTGTGGTTGTGGAAAAGCAAATGAATGTTACGCTGTTCAGTGCAGATTTCCTGCTGGAAGCATAATTGGACCGTACATTTTGTGAAAAGGGACTGGTCAAGCAGTGACTGTTATCAGTGATCGATAGCGCAACTTGATATCCCAGTCTAGGTCGTGTGATTAAATATCACTATAAACACAACAACTCTACCTGTCCTTCCTCGGTCAAAACTAGTCAACATTGTGTTCCCATGTGGAAACCCTGCAACCAACCAACGTGCGTGCCTGCTATGCCCTTAGTAATGCTTCCTAATATTAATCAGCAGACACTCTGCAAGAACACACGACTAGCAGTCGAAAAATTATAGGGGAACGGGAAAGAAGCAAAAATTCTGACCGGATCTTTCAAAGGACAAGAGGATGGACGTATAGATATTTTCCGCATTTCTTTCATTCTAACTAATACTTCCTTGAAATTCTATGAATTAGAGTTCCCTGTTCGAACACTATCAATAAAGCACAGGATCGAGCCTAAGAATTGCGTGGCCCACATTTAGATACGGCTTACTTCACACATGGACTATTGTTTATGGCATCTTCGAGGGCCGACGAGATAACATTTTTGTTTGCATGGCCGATGGTAAAACCATAAATGTTCTATACCCAAAGGTTGAAAAGATATGTGCATCTATGTGGCGCAACGAAGCGTTGCAGGGTACAGCTAGTATTATTTAAATGTAAATATGTAAACACAATATGCACTTTTCTGCTAATATCAATTTTTAATTTATTACTAATTTCTTAGTTTCAATGGAAAAAAGTATACCTTTTGTATAAAGAAAAGTTTCGGCAACCTAAAATTTTTTAATTTCAAACTCTCTTGCACTTTTTTAATACAAATAAGCACATATGTTTCCACACACCTATATATGTATATGTATTAATATTTCAATTTATTTATCTCATTTCCACCCAACGTGCATTTTTCAAAAGTTTCTGCCCTTTTTGTTTTTGCTTCTCCAACCTTTCAAAACTCCTTTCGCTCTACTTAGTGCACCTGCTTATCTCGTTGTTGCAGTTTTTCTTTTTCTGTTTTTTTTTTTTTTGGTTTTAATACTAACGACTTCATTATTATTTTTTACTTTGGTTAGTTTTTCTTATTTCAAAAAAAAAAAAACAAAAAAAAAAATGAAAACTGTTTTTGTTTATTCGCTTTTTTGTTAATTAAAAACTTTACTTTTACTTCAATCTTTGTTGGCCTCACATAGTTTTTGTATTGTTAACTTAGTGCGGCAGCGGCGTCGCTCTCTTTCTGACCACTTTTCTCTTTGTGCCAATCGCTTTCTCTTTGCCTTTTTTTCCAGTTATCGTGCCCCCACTTGCCATTTAATTAATAAACGTATCGAAACCTTTCACAACCGTAAGGAACTTTGTGCATTGTTTTTTGGTTTAAAAATAACAAAGTGAAAAATACATATGTATGAATACATATATATGAGTACATGCTGATATAGACAATTAGAAACAACGAATTGCAGCAAAGAGAGATGAAAAATGAATTTCCTTAGAAACAATTTAATTTTTCAAACGATTTTCTTTTTTAATTTTTTTCTTCTCTTTTGATATTTATTATTTAGGTGAAAAATTAATTTTTGTAGAATTCCAATTCTTCGATTGCATTAACTATTTCGTAACCTAGGCTTTTTTGGAGCAATAGCTCGAGTTGAGATGGAATTTGTGAAAATAAGAAAACCAAAACTTAAATGCGAAAAAAATTTGAAAATTATTTAGTTAGTCAACGGTTATATGTACACGTATGTATGTATCAAAAACGGTAATTTATTTATTTTTATCTACAGGCCCGAAATGAGTGTTTTGGTGTTTTTATTCCGAAAAATAAATGTAAAATTGAAGTAATTTTCACACAAGTTTTCTAAAATTGTAAAATGGTTTATTTGTCCAGCAAATAGTTTTAATTAAAACAACATCCCCTCATGCGCTTCTTAAGTCACACTAAAACCGATGGAATTTGCTGCAATAGAAGCAAACAAGAATCTCTGAGTATTACCAATAAATTTTGTGTTCTTTCTTTCTAATGCAATTGTAATTCATTTTAATCTTCTATTGTATTTTTTTTTGTTTTTGTTTTTTTTTTTTGGTTCTCTGCAATTGAACGCAATTTGTGTTTTTAACTCTTGTAATTTTGTGTGTGTGCAGTGAGATTGTGAAAGTGTTTGTTTTTCATTGTAAACAATTACAATAGTTGGACAATTACAATAAACGAAAAGCAAAGGACAATAAGTGGAATTAAATACGAATATAATATATGAACACACACATACACACACACACTCTCATACAGCTTATTTATTTGGCAAGCAATTTTATTAGCAAAATAAAGGATTTTATAAAATATTTCACAAAATAATTTGTTTTTCTTACGGATCGATTTTTTTGCAAGCGACATTTTAAATAAAGGGTGATTTTCTTAGTCATACGTTTTGCAAGAAGAAACAAAACGCATATAACTCCATGTAATGGCCAATAATTTAGCTTTTTTGTAAAGATATGTGTGCCGTTCAGTTTTAGAGATGATTTCAGGCAAGGTTTTTTGTTGTTGTTGTTGTACCCGATGTTGTTGTTATACCCGATATAGAGACAGGTCAATTAGTCTTAGTCACAGAGGCCATCTAACGGAAGCTCCAAAAAACGAGTGAAAGCGGGGCTAGATTTGTCAGATTTAGGGGGTATATAAAGATGTGGTTGGTATCGTGCGTGGACTCGTGAGTAGGACATTAACCTGCTACAATATCCATACATGAGTTTCGCAGCAGAATCGACCCGGATTTTCTTCGGCCAAGGGCTATCATCCCTTCGGGTGGCGATCTAACCCCATTTAAGTCAACGGGTAACATTTCAAACAAGTGACTGCAGGGACTGACTCGAATAAATTCCATGAGAGAGACACAATTTTCGACCACTTCTTGCAGCATTTGGTGACGGTTGCGAGCAATATCAAGGTGTAAATCATCTCGGGCTTATTTACGTAGGCAAGCGACTGCACATAACGCCACAACAAATAGTCCAGCGGTGTTAAAACACACGATCGTAGAGCCCAAACCAGGTGAGATAATGCTCTCACCGAAAGTTTCCTTTAAAAAATTGATTGACCAAAGGTCGTCCACATACACCTCATGCGACGAAAGACGTTTGTTGCAAAACGATCTATTGAAGATAATTTAGCTATCTGATGATAACAACGAAATGCGTTTGAAACTTAAGAAGTATGATGGACTCTAAGATCAATTTCCATCTTCATATCTATGCCATGGTCTTTAAACCTAAAAATGCTGTTGCCTTTGTCGAAAGAAGGTCAAAAGAATTCAAAGACCCTTTGTAACCAAAGCACTTTATGTGACTTTGGAGTGGTCAATATTAGAATATGGTTCAGTGATATGGAACCCAAATTATCAGGTTCATAAATTGGAATCTGTTCAAGAGCAATTTTTACTTTTCGTGTCAAGACATTTCCGATGGAACTCTACAATAAATCTTCCCTACTATACTAACCATTTGAAGCTTCTGAATCTACCTACTCTCGCAAGTCGTAGAGAAATGTTGGGCGCATTGTTCGTAGTGAAACTTCTTAATGGATCAATTTGCACTTCATGGCCCTTATCTGAGGTGAACTTTAATGTTCCAACTCGTGTATCTAGACAGTTTAG